CACATACAGACAGAGAATGGGCCATAAAGAGGCAATTCTGCATCTCTGTGTGTGTGTCAGTGAGTCGTTTCTGGAGGATCTGTATCGCTCCATCCGGATGGCCAAGTGGTGGCAGCTGCTGCTCATCCCCCTCGGCATCGCCGCCGTATACCTCGTCATCTCCTACCTCGGCGCATACGTAAGCCTGACTGACACACACCCCACCGAGCGACCAGGCCAAGACAATCTCGTGTGTGTGTGTGTGTGTGTTGCCTTAGGGTGTGTTCATGTTTTTGTTCTTCGCGCCTTTTCTGATATCGGCGCTGTCGACGCCATTCTGGTCGCAAATTAAGACGCTACTCGGGCTATAGCTGACCGGATCGGCCTACCTGCAGGGGGGGGGAGGGGGGAAGGTGGGCTGAGTAATTGAGAGCTGGTGGGTCATCCCCACTGGTCTCTCTCAGTTTTGCGTGGCGTGTGTGGTTAATTAAATTCCCGCATGGACATGGCATGGCGGTGTGTGCGCCTTCCCTTCTTCACATTTTTCCGGTGCGTCACACCATTCATTCCATTGTGAAATGTTGACCCTCCCACACCGTAGACCGCCCTCCCTCCCTCCCTCCCTCCCTCTCCCTGTCGCTTGTTTGCCATGTGTGGACGAACGAGTATATGTGTGTGTGTTGTGTGAAGGGGTTTTCAAGCCATCCAGCCACCCATCGTCATTGTGTGTGTGAGAATGTCGGTCGGGATTTGGTTGGTTGGCAATTTGGATTTTTGAAGGGCTATCGACGTACGTGTGAAGGAGAGAGTGTTCTGTGTGAGTGGGAGTGTGAGTGGGTCGTGCAAGTAAATAAGGTCTATAGGACGGGAGGGAGAGAAGGAGGGAGGGAGGGATACATCTGAGTGAGTGAGTGAGGTGAGGATGTGTGCTAGTGTGTGGTGTGCTTGAGATGCCCTCCTCCTCCTCCTCCTCCTAGACAGGTAGGGAGAGAGTGAGGGCGGCACGAACGAGTGGAGTGGCCCTCCCTTCCAATGACTGACTGACTGACGGTCGATTGATGCGATGGATGCATGGCGCTTACATGTCTGATGCATATCGACCTTAGGCTGCCTACCTGTCGGCCAGCGGGGTGAGTGAGTGAGTGGACAATCGATGACTGACTTTGATAGTGTGTCTGTCTATCTATCTATCTATCTATCTATCTATCTATCTATCTAGTGTCCCTCGCTGGATGAACCAACGACCCCTTAAGCTCCCTTCAAAGCCACTCAGCAAAAGGTTGAGTTGACCACTCGCGTGGTTTCTCGGCTCATTGCAAGAACCATAGATTGCACTGCAGATGCTACTGCCGACACTCGCGACGCACCCTTGACCCATCAGCCGCCGTCCCCCCTCGCGACTCATCCCATGATGTGTGTTTACAATCGCCAGTGGGTCGAGGCGCGAGGGTGAGTCGCGAATCCTTTGTTGGTGCGTGAGATGATGGGTTTGTGCGTGTGTGAGGGGTGAGGTGAGTTGAGGGGTTGGCTAACGTCACCATCGTCCTCATCGTCATCACATCATGTCTTCAGTGGCGAACCAGTCCACCGAGGCGTCCTCCGCTCTCACCAGCGCACAGCTCGACACCTACCCATGGGTGGGTGGGCAACACACCACGTCGACAGCAGCAGAGAGGAGAGTCCCACACTCTCACAAACACACTCACAAGCACTGCTTCCTGCACAAAGACCAGAAACAAACAGCAAACACCAAAAGAGAGTCTGTGTGCCTGTGCGCTGTGTGTGTGTTGTCTGTGTGTGTGTTCAGGTGCTGCGGATCTCGACCTCCAAGCACGGCAAGGATGTGTCGGACGACTCCTTCGCCAAACTGCTGTGTCTGCTGGACAACATCACAACGGCGCGCAAGGTGTTCAGCAGCAAAAAGGTCAAAGCGGAGGGCCTGCGCTTCGAGGCCGTCCCCTACTTCAACTCTGAAATGGCATTCAGCGGCAAACTCAGCGGGCTGGAGGTATGGCAGCATCACACTCACACACACCAATACACACACACAGACAGGCGAGAGAGAGGGAGGGAGGGAGAGGGAATGGGAGAGGGAGAGGGAATGACACATGAGGGGGATCTGCACACGAAGGGTGGGTGGGTGGGTGGATGTGTCTGGCGTGTGGGAATGTGACGATGTGTGTCGAGCAGGTGTATGTTGGTTCGTTTGAGAAGAGTTCGGGCATAATGGAGGAGCACCGGCTGGACAAGCTCAAGGCGCTGTTGGAGGGCAAGAGGACCGACCTAGCCATCGCAGACGACGTGCAACTCACATACGAGAAACTCCTCTACCCCACCACAGACGAGGTGAGAGGAGAGAAGACTTACAGCTCCTTTGTGTGGACACAGTGGAATGGCGTGTGTGTGTGTTGTTGACACCGATGATCAGCGGAAGCGTGTGCCCGTGGGTGTGTACCTGCCGTGCCGATACAAGTACGACTCTGACACACACCCGGCCGACTTCAGGAACTGTAAGCTCCCGCACCCCCTCGCCCCACACACACATCCACACACACATCCACACACCCATCCTGTGTGCCGTGGTCCCTCCATCTCATTCTCTCTCTCCATCTCTGTATGTGTGTCTATCCTATCCATCAGCTGTGTATTGTCTGTACCCCTACGATCTCCAGCCCGTCACCCCCATCGCCGCCCCCGCATTCACCAAGCCGCGAGCCAAACCCAAACGCAAACCAAAACAGCAGCAGCAGCAGGCAGACAGCAAGACAGACGACAGCAGCGGCGAGAACATGCTGCCGCCCAGGGTGCGCCGGCGCATCAAGGACGGCCTCGCGCAGCAGCAGCAGCAGGCGGCAGCAGCGGACCAGTCCAACAACGCCCTCCAAGACTTAGAGAACTACGTCGACAACAACATCAACCCTGTCAATCGGCGGGTGGGCGGCAGGAGGGGCGCTGCTGCTGCTGCTGCTGGTGGCGGCGGTGTCGCTGCCGCTGCTGTGCGGAGGGCGTCGCAGGCGCCGAGCAGCCGGCCGCTGACGAGGCAGCAGCGAAAGAGGAAGGAGGAAGAGATGAACCAGAACAACCACCTTGGCAACAACCATGAGCTGCTGCTGCAGGGAGGCACCGAGCTGCAGCAGCTGCTGCTGCTGCAGGGGGCTGACGGGGGCGAGGGAGGGAGGGGTGGCGGTGGTGGGAGGGAGAGGAAGCGGCGGAGGGGAGGGTAGAGAGACTGACAGCCAGACAGACAGACAGACACCCACGGCACACACATGAAGGTCAGGATTGACGGCTGAATGGATCGATTGATTCATGGGTGAAGGTAGAATCAATCGGTGAAGGCGACTTGTCTTGGCTGCCTTCGTTTTTGCCCGACTCTCTCGCTCACTGAGGTTCAGCGCACTGTCAGTGAGAGAGCGAGGACCGCCCGCCTCTCTGCCTCTCTGCCTCTCTGCCTGCCTGCCTGCCTGCCTGCGTTTTCCGTGTGTCTGTGCGTGTGCTGCAATCTCGGTTGAGGGCGGGGCGGGGCGGTGCTAGTTTGCTGCTGCCGCGGGTGCGGATGTGGTATGGGTGTGTGTGGTATCATGGCCACACCCATACACATGAGTGTGAGTGGATAAGGTCAGGAGGGATGGCTTGCGTGGGTGGCGACCGACCGAAGTGATTTCTCTGTATTGACACACACACACACACACACACACATTCACACATTCACACCGAGGAGGGAGGGAGGGGAGAGAGAGGGAAAGGAAAGGCCAATGCGTACATGCGTTCGTTCGTTCGTGCGTGCGTGGGGAAAGGATCGATGGAGGGATGCAATTAGTCATAAGATGACAACATCTTCTCTGCGCCGCTGCTGGGTCTCTCCCTCTCTCTCTCTCTCTCTCTCTTGCTGCCCGTGTGTGCACGTGTGTATGGCAACAAACGCTCGCGTGAGATTTCTTGTGGGGTGGCCCGGGTGGGGGGCTGGGCGGTGCACGCCCTGATGACACGTTTGACTCTCAGTGCGATCCGATCCGCTCGCCCCCTTTGAATCAACAAATCACACCTGCTCAGAACTCACCCATGGAAACAGTCCGCTGACAGACAGACAGACAGACAGTGCCACCACCCATCAACCCATCACACACAAAAGCCGACCGACACGGACACACTTACCTCGCCGGTCTCTTTCTTTCCCCCGTTGCTCTCTCTCTCGCTCTCGCGAGCGGCCCGACACACTCGAACGGCACTCTGCTCACATCGACCACCCTCCCAGTGGCCCGTACACCTTTCAACACCTTCTCCGCCTCCTCCCTGCTCAGCAGTATGGCGGCGTCTTGCGATGGTGATGCTGCCATTGGCCCATCTTTGTCTCCATCTGTGCCCCTCATCATCTCTAAGGACCGTTGCTGCATGTGGATGTGTCTCTGCCTCTCTGGGTGGGTGTGGATGGCTTCCTGCAGCAGAGAGGGGCCGGGAGTGGGTGTGGGTGTGGGTGTTTGGCTCGGCAGGTGTGCGAGTGCCGCGGCCGCCAGCTCCTTGATGGTGAGGAAGCGCGTGAACCTCTCGCCCCCGATCACCCAGGTCGGGTACGCCTCGATCTGCATCACAAAGGTAGGGGCCGTATGGTCTCTCTGTGTGTGTCCGTGCTCTTTCGTCACCTACGTCTGAGCATTTCTCAGGCTGGCTGTTCGGCTGTCCCTTCTCGCACTCGACAAAGTGCCCGGTGTCGGCGAATCGGCGCCACGCCTGGCCGATGGCCGTCTTCTGGTCGCGACAATGCCCGCAGACAGCCCTGCACACAATGAATGAACACATACATGAAATGGATTTAGGTGCCAAGGTGTGTGTCTTGTCTTACTTACGAGCCATACATGACGGCCCCTGCTGCAATGAGGTTGTTGACGAGCTCTTCCGACTGAGAGGGGGAGGCCAGGTCGAAGGTCGCGCCGGTGGTCTTGATGGCGGACGGGGAGGGCATCAAGGCACGCTGCACCATATAGAGGACACCTGATAGACCAACAAATGAGTGAATGGATGACAAGAGGCGCACCACACTGAGTGAGACACACAGTACTTACCTGAGAAAATAAGGGCTGACACGGCGGCCGCGACAGCAATGAGTGTGGCGCGTTTGGGAATGGGAACGAGAGACTGGACGACACGACACCCATACACAGAGACACACGTCTCGGCTGGCCTGGGACGCTCCCTTACCGTTGTGAGGCATATGATCGCATTGGTCCAGCATATGCAGGCAGAGGCGAAGCACCACGGACAAAACTGACCAATCTGCACACACAGAAGCCGCATGCAATAAAGTGCGGTCGGTCTTTGTGGGCTCTGTGTCATTCACTGACTTGGAAACCGAGCAACGTCATAAGGTAGCAGCTGAAGACAGCCATCATGCACGACACAAACAGCAGCAGCTGGCGAAGCAAGGCGTCTCCACCTGCACCATGCATGGATGGATGGACAGACACACAGAAACAGATGCCACCCGCCAATCTCTGTCTCCTTTGCACTGACGTCTTGACTCCTTCGCCCCCCACAGCAGCCCACACAGCACCAGCTCCGCCACATAAGCGCACAATCCCAAAAAGCCAGAGGAACGCCTGCAAACCAATACACAAAGACACAAAACATGTGTATCCTCCACCAAAGCATTCATGCATCGCATCCCCCTCACCCGCCACTTTTGACCAAGGTCCGGTGAGTGCCTCTGAGCAGCCGCCCACGGGGCAGCCGGGCCGCTCGCCGTCCCCCGCCCACTCGACGTAAGACAGGTAGGCACTCTCAATGCAGCCCGCTATGATCAGACCGGCCACTGCACAGAAGGGCGTGCCAGGCCAGTCAGGCCACGGCACAGACGGGTCGGCATCCAGAGGCAACGATGAGGGAGGAGCGGACACAGCCTTGGCAGCGTCAGCGGCTGTTGTTTGATGAGGTAAGCGGTCGCTTTCCATTGTGGATGGAGCCATTGACATCCTCCTTTAATCATAGAGACCCGTTGGAACGGAGCCCCATTGCATTTTCCCAAATAGCATTTTCCATCACTTTCACGCAATACCCTACATCCGCTGTTCGGATTCCGTTTGTTGCAATGGGTCACACGTCCTCAAGAAGGTGAATCAGTAGAGGTATCGCATCCCATGGCTGCTGCTGCGGCAGCTGCCGCAGCTGGCGAGAAGCGCAAATGGCCGCACGGCGGTGACAGGACCGATGATGAGTTCGTCCACATCGACGAGAGCATTGAGCAGGCCTCTCCATCGCCGAGGCCATGCGCAAGATACGCCAAGATCTGATGGACAGGGAGAGAGAGATGGGCGGCACACCAGAAGCATCCGTAAGAACAGTCAGATCCAAGGAACGCACAGAAAGAGGGAGAAAGGGAAGTGGTCTGCATCGCTGCTGCTGGTGTTGTTGCTGTAGGCCGATTGTATGGGTGATGTGCTGGACTTCAACGTGGCCGGGCAGCACTTTCGTGCGCGTCGCTCGACACTCTGCGCTGTCAAGGGGACCGTCATGGCGCTGCTCTTCTGTGGCCGGTTTGATGATGCTTTCATTCGAGACGCTGACAAGCGCATTTTCCTTCAGGTCTTCTCAGATGCGTTCATATGGTAGGTAGAGAGATGGCATACGCACCCGTCTGTGGCCGTGTGTGGGTCTCACACTGCCTTCTCTGCACGGATGTGGATTGTGTGTATCTGACAGGTTGGTTCAGCAGCTGATCACGTACGTTGGAGAGCAGACCATCGACAGCATCGTCATACCGCCGTCCAGACAAAGCGACGCCCCATTCACGTAAGCCATACCGCTGCGCGTCTTGGCTTTCCTGAGTGACACGGCCTGCTGCGGTTGGTTGTTCTTATTCAGGTATTGGGTTGAGTTGCTGATGTCTGACCCTGCCACCAAACGGCGCGCCAACCACCACCACCAGCACCAGCACCAGGAACAGCAGCAAGGGGACGGCCAGCAGGGGCATATAGAACAGCGGCCGGGTGGAGAGCAAGGGGCGGGTGGCGAGCCGACGGGCGGTCACCTGACCATGTGCGACAACCTGCGCGTGGTGACGGGCAAGGGGCTGGAGGACAAGGCAGCGCACGAGGCGAGGCTGGAGGCCATCAAACCGCTGCTCAAGACGGGCAATAGCGAGGAGGATTCGGTAAGCAAGACAACCATAGACAGACAGAAGGAAAGAGAGGAGACAGAACGAGCTATTCACTCCTGTGTGCCATCCCTTCCCTGCCGTGGTATCCGATGGTGTCAGTTGGTGTCGGTTGACGTGTGTGGGTTTAGCGTGACGTTGACGAAAGGCGTGGCCAAGTCGCTCGGCGAGGACTCGCTATTCGCGAACCGATTCCTCAAGTGAGCAGTAACCGCTACCATGACAAGAAAACAGTCATTCATTGGGTGTCTGTCTTTGTGTGTCAGGTATGACCCCAATAGTCTCGATGTAGCGGTGGACTACGTGCGGCGCATAGTGGACGTGGCAGCGCGGGCGCACATGAAGGGGACGGCCCTCACGTCGCTGGATGTGCAGGGGGCGGTGGGCGAGGCGGACCTCAAAGGATATCGACACGCACTCACCATGTAAGAAGGGGCACCAGGCCATGGGTCGGACGGGAGAGAAAGGCTCACCTCTCTCTGGGGTATGAGTGTTGGTCTGTCAGGTACGGTTTGGATGCCGATCGCTATCTGGGTCCTGCTGATGGCCTTCTCCAGACACGACACCTGCAGCAGATGCGAGAGTGGTGTGAGGGCAGAGATGATGCACCCGACAATATCCCCCCACGTGTGGGCGACACAGTCATGCGCATATACAAGTGAGAAAACGGAAAGGCACCCACAGACACAGGGATCGGATCAGCCAGCCATCTCTGTCTCTCTGTTCGCCCTTGCTGTACGTGTGTCGCGTCAGGGCGACTGTGGATTGTTGGAGGTGGTTAAATTTCTTCCATGCCGTCAAGGGCCACTCACCCCTGGTGCTCATCTTCCGTGTGGCCGACAGCAACGAGCTCTTCGCCGTCCTCATCGAGGGGCCCATCGAGGTCACAGAGATGACCGAGAGCACCCACGACATCAAATCACACGCCTTGAAGCTGCGGGGGACCGACAGCCACCCATATGTGGGCTACATCGGCTGGAACAACAAGATGGACATCGCGGGCACACAGGTGGGTACTCATTCCAATAAGCCAGGCAGTCATGGTGATGGTCTCCTCTCTATCCATGTGTGCAGGAGAGAGTCACCGAGCTCATCGATTTCTCTTCGCCCGACTCCGACGTGACGGCCGTCCTCGCTCCTTACTGCTTCATCTTCGCCATCCGTCCGGCCGCCCAGGCCCACCACATCGGCGCACCTGCAGCAGCCAGCGACGAGGAGCTCAAGCGCTGCCAAGGCTACATGGTGGAAGCAGATGAGCCCGACGAGTGGCGGCAGTGGGAGCGGCCGAGTGTGAGGCCGAGCGACCACGGCGATGTCAGTGACGGTGAACGAGTGTTCCTGCCTGTGTCAGTGAGGGGATGGCATTTCGACATTGATGAGCTCGAAGCGTACAAGCTGGCGTGAAGGAGGGGTGAAGGGGGACAGTAGTGTGGGTGTGGTGTGTGCTTGTATTCGTGACGAACATGTGCGTGGCCTTCCATCTAGTTGTACAGTTGACAATCACTGCGCATGGAACTTGGCTGTGTTTCTTTCTGTCGTTGACAACACACCACAATCCGGTGCCCACTGCAACATATGTGTACTTCGCTTTCACAGAAGAATGGAGTCGGCAATGTATTCGCATGCATGGCAAAGGCACAGGCAATCACGGGAACACAAGCGCATCACACGACATGAATGACAGCAGCAGTCCGACACAAACCGAACAGCCTATCAACCGCAATCACATGAGCGACTAGCGCACGCACCACCAAACCACCATGCAGCCCAAACCCGACCCTTATCACATCTCGTTCCCAAACCAATCCCTCACGGCCGGTCCTGACATGCAAACGTGCAGGTCGCCCTGTAGGGCCTTCGAGAGATGAGGTCCTCAGGAAACAGACCTGCCCGTTGCTGTGTCCGAGCATCGGCCGCATGGTGTGCGCGGCAGGACACTTGAAAAGCATTTCAGCGCATCAGCGCTACCGACAAACACTGCCCCCAATGGCTCATGACCCCCTCATGAATTCTTGCCCGCGTCGCCGGTGGTGCGGTGGTGGAGCTTGGCGCGGATGGGTCGTCGCCTGTGTCCCGCCTCTTCGTCTTCCTCCTCATCCATGAGTTCCTCGCCCTCGCCCTCCATGGCCATGTTGAATGCGTTGGTGGGCAGGCCCTTCTCCAGCTGCTGCTCGTCGAGCTCGTCCATGGCCGCCTGATTGAGGGGCGAGGCGGCGAACGATGCCTTGGGGGTCTGCAGGTGGCGCATGAGTCGCGCGTTGGCCGCCATCTGGTTGGTCCAGTTGAACAGCGGCGGGGCGTCGGGCGGCGTGTTGGGGAAGATCTCACGGTGGTCGCCGTCGCCTCCCTCCTTGGCCGACGGGCTCTTGATCGTCACGGCCGTCCCTCCTCCTCCTCCCACGATGGGCGCCTCACCGAAGAGGCCGCGCTTGAACGGCTCGAGGTCAGCGATGGAGGCCGTGAGGCGAGCAGCATTCGCATCCTTGCCCAGGAGGGAAAGCGGCTTGCCCTGGCTGAGGCGGGTCTTGAGGTTTGCGAGTGAGGGGCGGGAGGAGGCGGGTTGGCTGGGCGGTGGGAGGCGAGACAGTGCGAACTGGTAGAGGGCCGCGTCGGGCATGTCCACGTTACACACCTCGATTTGGCTCATCCTCGCTCGCTGGGATGGGATGAGTAGGCCGGACTCAGGCCAGACCTCGCCGGAGCACCGATCGGAAGATTGATGATTCAAAGACCTTCAGCAGCGGCCTCTCGCGTTGCACAGAGGAGCCTTTCCGTCCCAAACCGTGTCCCCTTCCTCCTGCGACATAAGTGAGCCCCATTGCAGGTTGTTTTCCGATCACTTTCACCGAACCCTCCGCGTTGCTTCTCAATCAAGATGAAGATCTATCTGCAGGCGTGGCTGTTCTTCGCGGCATCGCTGCGTGCCGTGTCGGTGTACTTCGGCTTCTTCGACGTCGCCATCTTCCAAAAGAAGCTCTTCGACCTCCAACCGGACAAAGGTAGGTGACCCACGCGCACACACAACGCAACGCAACATCTTGCCACGATTCACCACTGAATCCATCGCGTCATTCATGCCTCTGGCTGGCTGGTGCAGTGAACGATTTGTATGGGCGGACGTTCGGCATTTGGACGCTGGTGACGTGCATCGTCACGTCCAGCTGCGCCTATGACCTCCACAACGCCACCCTCTTTGGCGTCACCTGGCTCTCATTCCTCTGTGCCTTCGGCCACTTCACCTCCGAATTGGCCGTCTTCAAGACGCTGTCCATCAAGGGGTTCCTCTCTCCTGCCGTGGTGTCAGGTGAGCAGCGATGCACTCGCTCAAGGCAGCCTGACAGGCGGGGAGATGGTTCTGTGTGCGGTGGGTGTGGTTTGGTTGTTTTGTGTGGCGTGCAGGTGTGTCATTGGTGTGGATGGGTGTGTATTATCTGCTGTACCGGGATCAGTTCCACAGCCCGCCGCCTCCAGAGGACACCTCACTGAGGAAGACGCAGTGATTGATGACCACCAATGAGAGAAGATAGATATAAGAGAGGCTAGACGATGGATGGATGGATGGATGGGCGGATAGCCCCCCCGTCACACGTGTAGAATAGACCAGAAGATGTGGTCAATAGATAGGCTTTGGTAGGCTTTGGTGAATGACTGACTGAATGCACGTGTGTGAGTGAGTGTGAGCGGTGCTGGATTTTATTCCGCATGTTTGGGTGCATTGGACTCGCGAGCTCGACTGTCGCAATGTAGTGACATGATGTATTGAATGAACATGACACTACCTCCCTCAATCCGTCCATCGACCCCCCCACGGCAGCCAAGCCAGGCCATCCACACAAGCATCCAATCAGTATACATGGTCCTGACACGTGTGCATATGTGTGCGTGTAAGGGTGCTAGCATGAGGGTGAGAAAGGTCTCTCTCTCTCGGGGTCCTGGCCGGCCTTGCAGAGCAGAGGGAGGGTAGACAGACAGATCAACAGCCAAACAGCGTACACACATGACCCATGTACAGCAGGCAACCAGGCAGGTATGCAGGCAGGCAGGCAGTCAGGACGCAGCCGAATTCTGCTCTCACACACACGCACTCACATAATACATACATACACACCCAACCATCAGTGGAAAGGGGTCCGGGATGCAGAAAGGACACCTGCACACGCAAAGGACGAATGCGGACACGGGTGCGTTTCGCCGGTCTCTCCATGCACAGCCACGCACCTGTCATTCCTCATTCATGCGAGATTTGTTGTCATTGTCTTCGTCCGCATTCTCGGGCGGCGTGGGCGTTGGCGTGTCCTGAGCCTCCTCGCTGCCATCGGGGTCGTCATCGCGGACCGCCTCGGCAAACAAACGCATCCCAGCTGCCGACAGACAGACACAGACAGTGGCAGATGTTTATGTGTGTGTGTGTGTGTGTGTGTGTGTCTGTGTACATTTGGTGGGTCCGGGGGACCCCCACACGTCGTTCCTGTGGAGCAGCGCCTTCCTCAGCGCCCGCTTGAGGCCGTCCTCGTCCTGTGTGCTGGGGTGGAAGTACTTGCTCCTGCGCTGCCCCTTGCACATCCAGTGGACCTGGAAGCAGCCCCGGCAGGACACCCAGCTGATGCCCTTCTTGCCGATGCCGCTCATCGCCACATCAGCGTGGCCCTCCATCAGAGCGATCAGCGAGTTGGCCAACGACTTGTGCTCCATCTGACGCTCATCCAAGGCAGGTGGAGACGCAGCGCCCGACCCCGACCCACCGGCCCCGCCCCCGTCCTGATGCACAGCAAACTCGCAGGAATCGCCGGCTGCCGTGTCTGGGTGGTAGACGGAAACGGAGAGAGGATGGATGCGTTGTGACCGTCTGGCTGTGTGTCTGCCTTGACCCCGCCCACCGACCCACCCACCGGTCTTGAGTTTGGAGCTGAGTCTGCGTCTGCGGCCCGACACCCTGCTGACCGGCTTCTTCCCCGGACTCCCATTCCCATGGCCCGCCACCGAATCGCCCTTGGCCCCCTTCACACCACCTCCACCCATATCCCCGCCACCATTGCCTCCCCTCTTGCCCTTGCAACCTCTCTCCTTATCCTTCTTGCTCATGGTCTCGTTCTTGGTCACGGTCACACCCTCGCCCTTGCCGCCAGAGGTCGCCGTGGCCGTGGCCGTCCCGTTCTGTCCTTTCTTGCTTTTGAGGAGCGACTTCTTCCTGACGGCCCGAGCCACCGCATGGCTCAGGGCGCGATCGTCGTCATCGTCGTCATCGTCATCGTCATCGTCGTCGTCATCACCCTCACCATCGACGTCCACGTCCATGTCCACGTCCATGGCGCGATCGCGATCCCCGGCACCGACCTCGCCATTCTCCCAATCGTCGCAGTCGTGTGTGTGGGGGGTCGGGTCCGCGACTGCCTTGGCAACGGGTTTGCGGCCCCGCCTCCTCGGCTGGTTGGTGGCGCTAAACCGGCCGCGGTTGTTGGATCTGACGGCAGGGGGGTCTGGTCTCCATTGTGCCGGCTGGTGGGGGGATGGCTCGGTGGCCAGCTGGAATGGAGGCCGGCCCTTATTCCACGGGCCCAGGCAGCTGAGGGAACTCTCGTCACCCTGCCCCAAACTCCAAACGCGATCGCGATACTCGATGGCGGCCAACAGGGCGCTGACAGATTCAGGAAACGGAGGCAGACAGAAAGAGGGAGAGGTGCATGGGCAAGACGCGTGTGTGTCTTCCTTCGTGATCTTACTCCTGCAGTTTTGGCAGTTCATGTGTGGCGGGTGCGAAGTAGCGTACAGTCCGCTTGCCCATCTGGTTGCGCATCACGGCATACGCGGCGAACTCGTCGCTCCACTGTATGCCCCGCTGGCCCAGCAGCGGCAGCTGCCCGGACGGCAGGGATGGCTTGGGGGCGTTGGGGCGCATCGGATGGTCTGGCGAGGGCGGCTCCAGGCCCTGCAGCAGCTCCCACGCCATCCGACTCGTCTGCACCGAGGAATTCACCTCCCAATCGCCACCTGACACGCAGACATCACACACGCCATCTCTCTCCGTTTCTCTGTCTGTGTTTGTGTCTGTCGGACCTCTATGTTTCTTGGAGAAGTCGGCAACGGTGAAGTCAGCGAGTCCGGGCGGCATTCTGCGCTTGCTCTTGTGCCTCAAGCCGTAGCCGCGTGTGTTGTGTCGCGGGGCGTCGAGCTCGTCCTCCTCCAGCAGATGCTGCCGCTGCTCGAGGGCCTTGGTCAGGGCCTCGTGCACCGAGGCTGGGGTACTGCCGCAGGGGGTCACACGAGCCATCAGACGCCACTCGGACTCGCTCTTCTTATACACCGCAAAGCAACCTGCACACACACGCCACACACACAACACAGGATACACACGCACCCACCTGTGGGTGTTCCTGGCTCCCTTTCTCACCGGTGGCTCTATCAGTGTGTTCGGCAGCAGCTGACCGCCCCTCGTGGCCATTCATGAGGCTGGCCACCGTCGTGTTGTCGCTGCTGCGGTCGGTGTATCGCTCCCAGTGGACGAAGGTGACGCCCGAGAAGGCGATGCGCCGCAGCAGCTGGTGGGCGTAGGACTGCATCTCGCTCGGCGTGAGGGTCGTCATAGAAAGCTGCGTGCAGGCGTCGCACCGCCATGGAGTGCCCCACTCAATCTGATCCTCCTGACCGATGGAGGACACACACGGACACACACGGACACAGAGAGGGGGGAGAGGCGGTGTGTTGTGCGTTGTGTGTTGGCTGGCGTGGCGTACGTGGAGGGGCGGGTTGTTGCACTCCATGTGCACGCCCTTGCCGCAGGACTCGCAAATGATGATGGTGCCCATTGCGGTGTTGCACACCACACACCGTGTGTCGAAGGCGGGTCGGAGGGGCCGCGGACTGCCAGTGGGACCCTCGGCCTCGCCCTCACCATACCCGCCGCTGCTGTTGCTGACCTTCACGCCATCACTGCTCGACCCTCCACCGGCTCCTCCAATCAAGGCGTCATACATCACCGCACACTCATCGACACCGTGGTGTTGGCCCTTGGTGGTGGCGCCCTCCTCTGGCTGCTGCTGGTTGGCGGCCGGTGTGGGAGTGTGGTTCTTAAGCTGGGTGGGCTCGCCGTCGTCCTCGCGTGGTACATCCCCCTGAGTGGGAACTACTAGACCTGAAGGGCAGACAAGACGGAGAGCGGGAGCAAACAATGAGATGGCAGTCACAGGTCCTTTCGTGCATTGCTCTCCTCCACGCCCACCATCTTTGTCTGATGCATCAACAGTGGAGGATGTGGCCAGGAGGTTGAGGGACTCGCCATCGCCCCTCGGCACCTCCCAATTGAGCGTTGATGATTTGTGAATGACCTGCTGCTGCAATTGGTGGATTGGGTGCTGCTCCAGCTGCTGCTTTGGTGCAGTAACTACGATGGGCGGGAGGCTGAGGACCTCAGGCAGGGGAGCACCATCGGACGCCATGAGCCGTATGCACAGCTGGCGGCGCCCGATGGTGCTGGAGGCCGGGAAGAACTGCCTAACGATGAAAAACGATGAAAAACTCAGGGAGAAATTTGCGAGCTGATGGTGTTCGTGAGAGCGTGACTCGCTTTCTTCCATTGCAAATGAGCCCTGCAGCCGCGGGGATGTCTGCCTCAGCCCACTTGAGCGGCCATTTCCATTGTCTATTCACACACAATCCAAACACCGTACCCCGGTCAGTCAGTCAGTCGGTCATCCAGTCAGTCGTCATATGAGCATGGCTACACACACAGCGCATAGCATACGCCCGCCCATGCCATCCATGTATATGTGTTTGATGAACTAGGCAGCCCGTGGGAACGGAATGCAGCTGGCTACACACGCATGCCATACGTGATGTGCATTCATGCGTCTCGCTACCGGTGTGTCCAACCTCCGTCCATCTCCGCTACGCTACCCCTTGGTGCCATCACCCTCCCTCTCTGACGCATTCCCACTGTCGGTCGGAGGGCCGCGTGGCAGCCGAGTGTCCGGGCGTGGCTGCGGGACTGACACAGTGGGTGCGCCTGAGGACCGGCCCCCGGGACTCCCACCGCCGGTAAGGGACTGACGCGCCGAGGGGCGGCGGCTCATCTGCATGACAGGCACGCACATCGATGCATTCATTCACAGACAGGGCAGGGGTGGGTGCGTGTGGTGTACGTGTACCTCTTCTTGCATGGCGTTGGCGAGTCGGCCCACGAGCCGCATGGCACGGGGGGTGTCCTGGATGGGCCGGGGGGGTGCGTACTGGGACGATGACGCTACCAGGTGACGAATGAAGTCCTCCTGGGCGCGGCGCGACAGGCGCAGACAGACATGCAGGCGTGTGGGGGCGAGTGCAGTGGGTCCGTACTCATGCATGGTTCTGACCTACCTGTATTGGCTGGACCGTGTTTGAGAGCCATCGGTCGATCTGTGACAGCCGCCGTTGGCCCTCCTCCACCTACCAACCATGACAATAAACAATAGGGGAAATCCATCCATCCATCCATCAATGTCTGTGTCTGTGTCTGTGTGCGTCATTCTCACCTTGCTCAGCAGTGCTATTGACGCGTCATGCTGTGGCTCCACCGGGGCAGCATCGGCTGCACCAGCACCAGCACCACCACCACCACTATCAGTCGACACACCGCCACCACCTGGTTTCTGCTGTGTGTCGTCTGTGGTCTGCTCTGCAGTGTCCTGTTGTTGGCCTTGGTGAGGGACGGGTGGGTACTCCTTGATGGCTGCCTCCCATTGAGCTATCTTGGCCGTCAACCTGCACAAAGCAACACATGACACACGCGACAGTGGAGGGCATGCATGGATGGATGGATGGATGGGTGGTTCCTTACTTGTCACGTGTGTGCTGGAGTTGCTGAATCTCTCTGCCGAGGTGCTGCTCCTTCAACACGCACGCCAGCTGACCATTACACACACACAGAAAGCTGGATGGATGGGTGGAGATATCTGGCCTCCATCCGATCCGTGTGTGTGTGAATGTGACCTCCTGCGATACGCCTCCTGGCGGCGAATCCTGCCGACAGACATGTACAGAAATGACAGGAATGGGTGTATCTGTCTCTGTGTGTTTGAGGGTCTGGTCTGGGTGGGCACGTACCTCCTCTACGTTCGCCTCCTCCTCCATCCGTGTAAACGTCCGGCGAATGGCGTCGTCACACACCCGTGCAGCTGCAGGCAGAACCACACACACACACATCCACCCATCGGCCTTTCCATCCACGCCATTAAGGAGGGGCACACGATGACTGACCGAGTCTGGCCTGCCAGCTCGTTGCCCCGAATTGAGCCTCGATTGCGTCGTACTCCTTCTTGACTGCTTGACGGATCAGCTCTAGCGCCTGCTCGTTGTCAGAGAGCTCGTCTGGCGGGTAGCACACACCACACACCTTAAGAAGCCCATGTGTGTGTGCATGGGGCGTACCGAAGCCATCGAAGTTGAAGTCTGCAGGAGCCATAGTCGCGCCACGATAGGTCTCGCCAACCCCTAAACCACACACACACACACACACACATGGAGGGGAGGGGGTAAAGGTCGGCGATGCCCTTGACTTGTGCGTGTCACTGTCGCTGTCAGTTTGCCTCACCTCTTTCGGTCGTCTGCTTGTCCCTTGTTTGGATAGCAGCAGGCTTTGGCTTGGTGCTTCTGTAGGGCAGGCGGGGCAGCATTGACTTGGCGCGAGGACGCTGCAGACCTCCTTCTACACTCGCCGCCGCCGCCGCCGCAGCAGCGGGGGTGCCATCGACGCCGAGCTGCACATGGGATGGGAGGGATGGGTGTGTGTGTGTGTGTGTGTGTTTGCGCCTTTGTGTTTGGTTGCTTGTGGGTCTTGTCTTGTCTTGCCTTACCTTGCCATGTGTTGCGTCTTTGGCTTTCTGGGTGTCCTCTTGAGCATCGACCACAGCGGCCTCCTCCTCCCCGACTGCACACAGATAGACAGACACACACACACACACATGGATGGATGGATGGATGGATGGCTATGGCCGGCCTGTCCTTCCTCCTCCCAATTTCACCCATTCTCTCACCTACCTATAGACTCATCCGCCCACTCTTCAAATCGCTCATACACTGACAAGCGCCCCGCGCCGTACCCATCACCCTCACCCACACACACATCACCCATACCCCCCTCGTCTAGGTCCCCCCCCTCGTCTGCATCAAGGGGCACCGCTTCGCCATCCTCCATCTCAGTGAACTCCCACTCGTCCGGCCGCGCCAACGACTCGCGGCGCCCCGCCGCCTTCGCCGCTGTCTTGGGCGCAGGCCCTGCGAGAGATCCCCGCGAGATCCTCTGATGCAGCAGAGAGGGGCGGCGCTCCTTCTCCATCTCCTTCTCCTTGGGTGGCGCATTCTTGACGAAAAGTCGTCTCTTGATGCGCTCGACGCTCACAGGGGGCGTCACGCGGCTGTCGATCGACCGCACCGACATGACGGAAACGGCGGGCGAGGCCGGCACACCGGCCCCGTTGGGTGTGGGCACCATCAATGGTCGAGGTGGCCTGGAGGCCCCAGAGCCGGCAACCAGACGAGCGCCAGGAGGGAGAGGGGGCTTCTGAGGCTTCTTGGGGTGTGTGGGTGTGGCAGGGGGCGGCGACATGGATCGGCTCTTGCGTGAGGCCTTGTGGCTGTGGCGAGCGGCTGGTGCGGGGTTGTCTGGCGGGGCGATGAGGATGGCGTCGGCTGTGGGGAAAACCTCTGCGGAAGGCAAGACATGTGTGTGTGGATGCGTGTGGTGTAGGTGCTCTTGTTGCTGACTGACTGACCCTTGAGGTCGCTACGGATGATGCTCTCCGGGTTTCGCGCGCGCCTGGCCGGCGTAGAGGCTGACAGACACCAACCACACATACCATACACGCGTACACGCACATCCATGCCCCGCCACCCATCTCACCCACCTTTCTTGTCTTCTAACGGCGATGGGTGCTCAGACGTCATCTGTGGGTCGACGATGTCGCACCACCGCCCACCACCACCACCACCACCATCATGACCATGAGCACCCCACTCGTCCCCATCCTCGGCTACTGACGGCAGAGACGACAGCGCCGCGCGAGACCGGGGCCGCTGCTTGGCCTTCCCGACCAAAGTTGGGGGCCTGATGCTCAAACGGCCTGGGGCACGATTCGCCGCTGACAGACAGACAGGCAGACACAGAGGGATCGAAGGTGTGTGGTGGAGTGGAGGGTCCGACTGACCTTCAGGTAGCCGGTCAATACGGCTACCGAGCCCCTTACGGGGCACGGTGGACAGCCGTCGTTTGTCCTCCAGCCGATCTGCCGGTCGAACACTGCCAACACCACCAACACCAACACCAACACCACTACCAGCAGCCCCCTCACCGCCACTAACACCACCACCGTCCCCCTTCTCCTTCTCCTTCTCGTCCTCCCTGACAGCCGCCCGCAAGAGCTCATCCCCATCGGCTACTCCCACACCCGCACCAACACCCATCCCGCCCTTCCTCGGCACAAAAGGGGAGGGTCTTTTGTCCACCCCCAACAGAGGCGACGGCGGCCGCGGCAGCATGCCCTTGCCACCATCCATCGGCCCCAGTCGGCTGCCGTGCGCATGATGTGGTGTCTTGTCGTCCTTGTTCGGCGTGCGGTTGCCGAATCGGGGGGTGCCTGGGGGCGTGTGGCCGGGCGTGCCCCCCTTGCCCCGCTTCTGCCTGTTCCCCGTCTCGACAACGCTCCGGCTGCTGGGGGGGCGGGTGTGTGTCGGTTTGCCGATGCCCTTGGACTTGCCGCGCTTTTCGTACTCAGGCCGCAGGATTTTGATGCTGGGAAAGGCTCCTTTCGGCTTGCTGGCTGCAGCCGACTCTGGGTGTGGGACGATCTCGGGCGGCAGCTTCAGCCGCGTCGGGGTGCGGAGGGGGGAGGGCTGCGGGCGGTGGGTCCTCTTGGGCTCGAACACGGCAGCGGCGATCTTGATCTCCTTCTTTTCACCGCCCCCAGCCTCTCCCTCACCCTGCTCCGTCGCAGCAGGTAGCGGACGGATCGAGTCTCGCCGGCGACGAGCATCCTCGCCACGCACCTCCTCTGCCGGCTGCCCCACCGCCGCGCCAGCGACCTCCTTCTCGACAGCCGCGCGGATGGTCCCCCGCATAATGACCTCCTCCAGCGCCGCCATCGCCCTCTCCTGTGTCTTGTCTTCTTCTGTCCGGCCGAACGAGAAGCGAGCCCCCGCCATGCTCCCAATATGGTTGTCATCAGCAGCTTGTTCTGGAGGTGGGAGCTGCGAAGAGAGTGGGGCCGCATCGCCATTCCCGCCGGACCGCTGCTGCTGCTGCTGCTGCTGGGGTTCGAATGTGAATACAGGAGAAGGCGCAGCGGCAGGGGCGCCGAAGGAGAACGCGTCATCGTGGGCATCCTCTGTGCTCCCAAACGCGGCCGTGAGTCGGCTCTCCCTCCCACCGCGGCCGCCAGAGTCGGGGGAAGGCGATGCGAGCGGCATCAGGTTGCTGTCATCGCCCTCGACGACGCTCTCTACGCCAGCTACTGCGGCTGCCTCCTCGGTGCGAGTGGCGGGGGGTGGCTCATCCACTGGGCCGTCCTGCGTCTGCTGCGGGTTGTCTGGAGGTGAGGGTGGCGATGGGGCCTGCTGTTGGTTGTCGCCGAAGGAGACGGGCGAGTCGGGCATGCTGAAGTCACGTGGCGGGGATGGGGGAGAGGGGGACGGGTCGGGGAGGGTCTTGGTCTGAATGATAGAACAAAACACACACCATAGCCACACGAATGCCAAAGGCGAGCACAGTATCGCATTTCGAGCACTTACATGAGGACTTGGAGAGCAGCCAGGAAACGCCGAGCTCGGTGTGCGCTCAATATGAACCGGCTGCAACCCCGCACGCGCAAAGTAGCGATAGTTGCCTGGCGGGGTTGCCTGTGGCCCCCGCAGCTGCTGCTCCCCTTCCCCCACCCCTGCCCCCTCCCTCCTCGATGGCGCGGCATCCTCTTCAGTCCCAAACGCCGCCGTGCGTCGGCCCTCCCTCGCGCCATGGCCACCAGGGTCGGGGGAGGGGGAGGCGAGTGGCATCAGCTCGCTGTCATTGCCCTCTCCCTCGTTCTCTGCGCCAGCCACTACGGCCATTTCTCCTGTACGTGTGGCGGGGGGCGGCTCCTCAGCTGGGCCGTCCTGTGTCTGCTGGGCATTGTCTGGAGGTGAGGGTGTGGATGGGGCCTGCTGTTGGTTGTCGCCGAACGAGGGGGATGGGGGAGCGGGGGACGGGTCGGGAATTGGCTTCGTCTGAGAATAAAACCAACCACACACACACACACACACCAAATGCCAAAGGCGAGCACAGTATCGCATTTCGAGCACTTACCTGAGGACTTGGAGAGCAGCCAGGGAATGCCGAGCTCGGTGTGCGCTCAATATGAACCGGCTGCAGTCCCGCACGTGCGAAGAAGCGATAGTTGCCCGGCGGCGTTGCCTGTGGTCCCCCCCGCGGCTGCCCATGTACTTGTGTCTTGGATGGCGTCAAGGGGAGCCCACCTACTGGGCGGGGCACAGCGATGGAATCGTCCGGTCCCTCATCTGGAGCTGGGCTCGCCGCGGCCGGGCCACGGACGGTCACGGGAGACTGGTCCGTCAGCCGAGTGCCCTCGCGACGCTCGATTGTCGCTGGGGTGGTGTCCATGGGGATATGCTCTGGCACGCCGAACACCGGTACGCCGTCCTCAGCCGGCGCGAGCACCACCTCCCCCTCTCCCTCCCCCTCTCCATGGTCGCCTCCCTCCTCCGCCATCGGCTCATCGTCTACGTCTACCTCACCACCGGCACCATCACCATCCGGTGGCCCAAACGAGAAGACACGACCACCTCCTACAGCGTCTTCTTGGTTGAATTGAAGAGGCCCTGCCTCTGACGGCGCTGCCTCTGACCGGTTGGCCGGCGAGCTTGTGTGCGAGTCCGACAGGGGGAAGCTGCTGTACTGAGGGGGCGACGACATCTGCGATGGGTCGGTGAAGTGGACGGACGAGATGGCGCTGAACCGCTGGTTGCCCTCGTCGCCAGTGCCGCCAGACAGGTGACGCAAGGGGTCTTGGGGCTCCACAGCCGATGCAGCAGCAGCACCACCACCACCACCAGCTACATTGTCATCATGGATCTGTGCGTCGGGATGGATGAAGGGGTGGCCGTGGGATGTGTGGCTGGCAGGTGCGTGTGAAACGGTGCTTCTGATGTGAACGCGGGCAGAACACACGACAATGAATCGTGTGTATGCGGTGGGTGGAACGACCCTCCCTCCCTCGTACTCCCTCGTTGCTCTTACTTGGGTTTGGGTGGTCGTTTGGCCATTGCTGTGCCCCTTCGCGGCCTGGAATGGAGCTCTGCGCCTCCACCGCTGCTCGATGCGCCATCGGGAGGCGGCTCAGACTGTGTGCTCGATGCGTTCTGCATGACACCGCCAGGAACAGAGGGGTGCAACGGAAGATCTCGCGAAAGGATAAGTGCAGCCTCTTGGGCATGGGTGGTGGGTGACGCCTACTTGCGTGCGTGCTGCGATACGGCCGGACCGCCGAAGTGCTCTGTCACCCTACCAGGCGCCCCATCCATCCAGACCAAGTGAGATATGGTCTTTTTGTCTACATTGACACGTGCTGTGTGATTTGTTGTACCTGATCCATCACTGTGGCTCACGGCATCACAAGAAACAGGAAATCGTTCATCAATCGTCTGGCAGTAAGTTTCACGAGCCCCAACACTGTCGGTCCGCATTTTTTCGTTCGCGTCCGCAAGTTTTGCCGCGTGAAGTTTGTTATGCGCTGGAGAGGATGACAGGCGTCGAAGTTTCGAGAGTTGTGCAGTTTTCTGACGCTGGGGAGGCGGGCAAAGTCAGCGAGTTGGCGACGGGGCTGAAGCGGCAATGGGGGGACCTGTGCGACGACATCACCAGCATGGACGACAAGGTGGGCGATGATACACATAGGGCAGGCGCCTTCATGCAGGATCACCCGCTCAATGTGTCAGTTTTGCCTTCCCCTTTTTCAGGAAGCGGCTGGTTCGGTGGGGGACGCTTCACCGGTGTCTGGTGGAGGGGGCCAGGTGAGAAAGGGCGCAGGGGGCCTGTTGGTGAGCATACACATCGGGCCCTCAGGCTGAAATCCTTTTCCTCCTTCCATTTGCTGACAGGCGGATGGCCCCACATTGACCCGTTTGCTCAAGGACGAGATGGCGCACGTGTGTGAGGTCAGGCAGAGGGTTCAGGCCTTCCAGCACACTAAGTCCAAGCCACCCACTTCGCCACAGGACGACACAGCACGCTACCAAACCGCTGCGGTGAGAATAGCGGACAGATGGACGATTGAGAGGGGGGTCTGTGTCTCGTTCATTCATTCAGGCGACGTTGAGGGAGCAGCACGAGCCAGAGCTGCCGCTGCCCTTCAAGACCACTCTGCTGCTGCCTCCTCAACCACAGGGCGTCATCGACAAGGACGGTGCCGGTGGTGGAGGTGTGAGTGGCCGCGGATCGTCGATGGCGCCCTCCGTCCACAGCTCATACGGCCCCTCACCTGCACGAGTGGCGGGGAACAGACAACATCACTACCTCGACAACATGGTCAGCCAGCCCACGACAGCCACACGCACACACATGGCGGTGCATGTGTGTCTGCAGAGTGATGCTTCATCGACAGAGACCCAGATCGCCCTGTCAGAGCTGCTTCTGGCTCAGCAGTCGCCCGCACACCATGCCACCATCCCTCCCCTAGACCTGTCTAAGATCAAAGAACAGGACAAGAGAAAGCCGGCAGCAGCGGAGCCCGCCAAAGAAGACGACAACAAGCCGCAGCAAGAGGAGCCCTCCACCTTCCAAAAGCTCTTCAGCTCCTTTCTCATGCCAGCAGCCGAAAGAGAGGAGGAAACGGGCGAAGAGGGAGAAGAGGAGGGAGAGGAAGACAAGATCGACGTCACGGAGTGGGGCCGCCCGCCGATCCCTCGAATAAAGGTGCTTGGCAAGACGGCGCTCTTCCTCAAGCGCACGCAGGCCCTGGCCGCCACCAACAAGAAGAAGGACCAGAACCGTCATCGGCGCGCCAGTGTTCCCCCCCGACAAAGCGACTGGGACAACATCCCCACAGAGAGGGTCAACGCCACAGAGAGGGGAGACACGCAGAAGAAAGAGGACATCACTCTGCAGCGGAGGCTGTTGTCCCTCCTGTTTGGGGGTGTGGAAGAGGCCGTCACACGCAAGGAGGAGGGAGAGGAAGAGGAAGAGGCAGAGGGAGAGGGAGAGGGCGGACCCCCATCGGCCCCCAGCACACCCCCTCCACCACCACCCGCCAGCCGACACAAGACAGCAGCCAAAGCAGTGCTCTTCATCAAGCGGGCGGAGGCCCTTGCCAACAAGGAGAAAGTTCAGCAGCACCAACAGCAGCAGCAGCAGCAGCAGAGGCAATCCTTCTTCGGCTCCCTCTTCGGTGAGCAGCAGCAACAAAGCCTTGCCATCCCTCCACCGCCCTCGCCCACCCCATCCCACGACGAGATGACCACTCTCTCTGTCGGTGACTATGAAGAGAAAGAGAGAGGGGACAGAGGAGACACATCCACACCGTCCGTGTCTTTGCTCGGCCGGCTGTCGCTGGCGTCTCTGTTCACGTTCGAGGACGAGGGCGCCACCAGGGAGAGAGGGGGAGAGAGGGACGGGAAAAGGAAGCGACCGGATCATGGGCACGCAAATGCTGCCGGTGGTGGCGGTGGGGGGGTTCGGATGGTCCCCCAACCGCCAGCAGCGGACACGAAGAAGATGCCAGTGGCCAAGTCGACAGTGTATGTGGGCCGCAGCAGTGGGTCTGGTGCGTCAGGGGGAGTGGGGGTGTTTGGCTGGTAAGTCAGGTCTCTCTTCTTTTTCTGGCTGGTGCCTTGCAAGAGTAAGACTAAAGGTCTTGGTTGGCTTGGTCAATGAAGTCGATTGTACTGAGAGAGACGGACTCGTGAAGCGAAGCGATGTGGTGTCAGGTCAGTGGGTGAGTGACCGGCGTGTTCAACAAAGCGCTTTTTCCATCCATTGAACTCGAATGCAGCCAGCCACACGCACGCACGCACGCACGCAGGCATACAAGAGTCTGTTTGTCGGCACCACACAAGGAAACGCATGGGCAGACCCAGAAAATTGACCTACATGCCCACCCCACCCCACCCGCCCGCCCCAAAACGAGCCCTCCTGTCTGTCTGTCGCATAAAGCGCGCATGCTCACGAACGTCTCCCAGCCTCCAGCCACCATCTTTCCATCCACCCACCCTGAGAGTGAAAAAGCCGTATGTGCGCGCGGCATCGACCGACCAGGTCGGCCAGCCGACACGCATACACACACACACATAGAGATGTACCCCACCTTACGCACACACGCACACACACATGCACCTACGAGTGAGTGCACTGCTGACTCCGTGTCAGGCTACGGTACTACCGGGCAAAACTGCAGCGGGATGGATGGATGGATGGATGGGTGGCGGCAACACAGACAGACACACAGGGATGGAGAGGGATGTCGGCACGCATGAGGGCGTGAAAAAAGGCCCTCGGGCGTTTGTCCCTCTCACACAGACAGACATGGATGGGATGGGGAGGGCTGATCTATCATTCCCTTATCGACAGGCGAACGAAACGACTTGACGAAACGCAACTACCTGGTCTCTCTGTGCTCGCTTGTTTCTGTCACGTGCTGCTCCCTCCGGGAATCAGCCCCTCGTGTGTCTGTCGCGACACAAGAGAGGATCATTCCCGGTCAGTGCATCACATTACAGGAAACAAACAAGGCGAGAGAGCCCGGCGAACACGTGGCCCGGCCCGGCCCGGCCTGGTCTGGTCTTCTTCACTTAAACCACGAATACCTTGCACTCCTGCACACACACACTGTGTCATTGACTGCCCTGTATCTGTGTGTCCTGTCGGTGCGTACCTTGACGGTGTCGAGTGCCTTGACTTCGTCGAGCGCCTCCTGAGAGACACCGCCGTCAACCGACGCTATAGCGATGCCCAAATTGGGCGCCTTGCGACCTGACAGACACACAGGGACACCACGTCATCACCACATCATCACCACACAAGACATATCGGTGCTCTGCATGTGTGTGTGAGGTACCCAAGTGTAGGTTGCCGATGTTGAGCTGGTGCTTGCCCAGGATGCCCGTCACCTTAGCCAGCACACCGGGCGAATCGCTGCACACAGACAGAGGGAGACAGAGAAGGAGAGAAGGAGGAACACAAGTACACCTGTGTGTGTGTGCGTGTGTGTGTGTGTTGCGGCTGGGCATCAGCTACCTGTGCATGGAGTAGATGAAGGAGGTTTTCTTGCTGCCGAGGTCAGGCAGCAGCATGTAGATCGGCACGTCCTGGAAGGCCGTCATCAGCACCTTCCCGTCGTCAGTGTTGGTCCCTGACACACACACACACACACACATGCACATCAGCCATCTGCTCTTGCCATCCATCGTGGTGCATGCGTGTGGTGTGACTGCATTCACTCACCGCGCACAGTGGCCGTCTCGGTCCTGCTCTTCATCTCCACACGCAGGCCGGGCTTCGTGTGGTGCGGCTCTGACAACACACACGTACACACATGAGTGACGAGACGAGACACCCTCTGTGTTCATGTGTGTCTGTCTGTGAGCACCTTTGGCAACAGAGAGAGCGACCTTGAAGGTGTCTGCGACCTGTTTGACGTTGACGAAGTTGACGGGCCTGTCGAGCTGCACCGCCAGGGCGCCCTTGGCCACCGCCAGCAGCATGGGGTCGCCGCGCTCGCTGGCGTACTCGCCCTCCAACGTGACCGTTATCTGCACACACACACACACACAGGCGAGTGTGGGTGGGGTGGTGGTGGTTGGAGGGTGTGGGTGTGGGTGTCAAATCACCTTTTCCAGTGCGCCCTGCAGCAGCTGGACAGTGACTTTGCCGAGGTCGTCGCAGCAGCTGAGGAGGGGCAGGATTTGCTGCAGCTCGGCCGCACGCATTCCCTGTGCCCATTGCACACACAACACACACATCACATAACACACAAGAGAATGGATCCGTGTCGTAGAGGTGCAATTCTAGGCCTGCCTACGGGTATGTTGACAGCGGACTGCGGTAGGTTGCCCTGGAGGGTGTCCTTGATCTGCTGCGCCACGTCCACCGCCACGTTGACCTGAGCCTCGTGAGTCGACGCACCTGAACCACACACCACCCACAGACCATTTGCAGACAGACGCAGTGAGCTGTGCGTGTCATGAGGTGACTGACCGAGGTGAGGCGTGAGCAGCATGTTGGGCGCGGTGAGCAGGGGGTTGTCCTCGGCGAACGCCTTCTCCTCCTCAAACACATCTGATGACGGACCAGACACCACACCACACCAAGTAGAGGCATTCACCTCTCCCTCCCTCCCTCCCTCTCTCCCTCCCTCCCTCCCTCCCTCCCTCCCCACACACCCATCGCGGCTCCGGCCAGTCGTCCCTCCTTGAGTGCCTCAACCAGTGCCTTCTCGTCGATGACCCCCCCGCGCGACGCGTTGATGATGCGGCATGTGCGCTTCATGGTCTTGATGGTGTCGGCGTTGATCATGTGTTTGGTCTCGGGGATGAGCGGCACGTGGAGCGTGATGTAGTCGCTCATTTTGTAGAGCTCCTCAAGGGTCACGATCTGGCAGTCAAGGGAGGCCGCCTGTTTAATGGAAGACACGCAAGACACACACACAGACGAGAGGGAGAGATCGGGCTGTGTGATGGTTGTGTGTGTGTGTGTGGCACCTTTGCTTCGTTGACATATGGGTCGAAGGTGAGGAGCTTCATGCCCATCTCACGGGCCACCTTGGCAACGTGGCTGCCAACCTGACACACAAACAGACCACACATCTTCTTCTCACATGCGCCCAGATCCTCACACCCTCGCGCACAGACACCATCCCTCACCTGTCCGAGCCCGACGATGCCGAGAATCTTGCCCTGCAGCTGGCTGCCCATGAACTTGTTGCGCTCCCACTTGAGTGCGCGCATCGACGCGTCAGCCGGGGCGATGTTGCGACTCAACGCCATCAGCAGCGCCAAGGTGTGCTCGGCGGCTGCCACACTGACGTGATGTGAGTGACCACAGACAGACAGACACAGACAGATGCAGCAGAGATGCATGGAGATGCATGTGGCATGTGTGTCTTGTCTGTGTGGGTGAGAGAGTGAGAGAGGTCCACCGTACGTGTTGCCGAGAGGCGAGTTGACGACGAAGATGCCGGTGTCGGTGGCGGCCTTGACGTTGACATTGTCGACGCCCACGCCGGCCCGGCCGATGATCTTGAGCTTCTTGCTCGAACGGATGATCTTCTCTGTCACCTTGGTGCCGCTACGCACCTGTCAGTCAACACACCATATCGGTGGGCATGTGTGTGTCTGTGTGTCTGTGTACCATCATGGCGTCGTATTCTGGGATGATTTCGCATATTTGGTCCTCAGTGAGTTTGGTCTTGACGTCGACGTCGGCCACGGTGGAGAGGATGTCGATGCCAGCATTGTCGATGCTGTCACTCACCAACACACGGAACCGTCGGCTGCATCACACGCAAACACACACAGGCAAAAGATGTCCGTCTACGTCACTTGTCTGTCTGTCTGCAAGTTCTTCACCTTTTGAAGGAGTCGTATCTCTTCATCTGCACCATGTCAGGTATGTGTCAACGGGGAATTGCCCAGCGCTTCTGTCTGCTTAGATGGATGGATGAATGCACAAGCCGTTGAGGTCGATGACGCACAGGAGAGGAGCGCAGATCTTTCGGACTCTTGTTTGAGATGAAATGGAAAGATCTCGATGCAGCACTGCTACTTGTGACGCTGCTGCCGCTTCCCTCTGTCCACAGGAGCTCTGGCGCCGAGACTGCGATTAGCGTCTCTCAAGATGGTTACACGGCATACCCTGCCCCCGCTCTGGAACCCTGCGCTGGCAACCCTAGTAAAGGAAAGCAGCCAAAATGTCGGTACTCCCCGCTCCCGCCCGCAAGAGGCGGCAGTCCGGCAGATCAGCCGCCGAAGAAGGCGGTGCCAAGCTGCGCTGTATTGCATCGGCGACCGTAGACTTCTGCGTGGTGCGGCTGTCGGCGGCTGACCAGCGGCGCCTGGTGTACCGCCTTATCGACCTGCACACGGAGACCATAATGAGGGCGCTGCGTCGTGAGAATGCGAAGAAGGCCAAGGAGCGGATGAGCGTGCCGCGTAAGGACCAGATGGGGCGGGTCATGGGGCTGGACGCACTGGGCATCGAGCAGCAGGGTACGAGAATGCCGCTGGCGTGGGTGCCTGGATGGGCGGACAAGATCTCTCTGTCTGTCCGAATGTGTGTGTGTATGTGTGCACATGTGTGCAGGTATGTGGTTGCGTGATGCCAGTAGCCTGGCTGCTGCCGTGCGCAAGGGGCTCATCCCGCAGCTGACCATCATCTACTCTGTCGACGAAGAAACACTCGAGAAAGCCGCAACCGTCACGTGAGCAGCCCAGACAGAGCCATCCACACACATTACATTCACCCCACTCCCGTCACGTCGGTCTGCGGCTGTACGTATCTATCCATCAGGTCGGTGATCCCCTGCGAGGACCACATAGTGTCCTACCTGCCCTTCTCATCTCTCGCCACACTCCCGTACACATGCCGCGCACTCGACGCAGCCTGCAGGGCGCCGCCCCGCTTCGAGCGGCTCGTCCTCGGGCCCGACACCACGCACCACCACCACCAGCAGCAGGGGCGCGGGGTAACGTGTCGCAATGGTGCGGCTGCAGCTGACGCAACCAGCACCGCTGTTCCACTCTCACGCAGGCAGGCCATGGTGGACTTCTTCTGCAACCGCGCACAAGCAGAGGCAGCGGCAGCGGCAGCGGCAGCGGCAGCGGCAGCACCAGGGATGCAACGGCCTCCTGCTGCTGCCGCCGCTGCTCCATCGGCATCGGCGTTGTCGGCTGAGGGGCCGCAGGAGGTGGCGGTGTACATGCCCAAGCACGCACAGGCACTGGCAAAGCTGCCTGACGGAGATGGAGAAGGTGTGCGAGGGGAGTGGGGAGGCAAAGAGGCGTGTGAGTGTGTGTGTTGTGTGTGTTGTGTGTGTTGTGTGTGTTGTGTGTCAGGTTCTCTGTCGTTTGCTGAGGTTGCGGGTCAGTATCGGCAGCACATGACGTGGCTGTCCGTGATGGGCCATGGCCCCTCCCTCCCCGATGACTGGGTGGAGTCCATTCTCGTCTGCGCCCGATCCCTCACCCACCTCCACTGGCGAGTCGAGCCGCTCTCACCCACAGCCACCGAGAAGAAGATCAACGAGTCCATGCCCCCTCGGCTCATCAGCTTCTGCCGCGACACCCTGCAGTCGCTCGACCTGGGTGGTGTCAAGAAGGTCGTCCTGCCCTCCCTCCCCTCCCTACTCGCCTGCCGTGTGCGCAGCACATCGCCCGTCAACCTGGAAGCGGCAAACTGCCCTTTGCGGCTGCCGCATTGCCGGGCGCTGTCGATTGAGGAGGGTCAGTTTGTGGATGGCGTGTGGCGGGCACATGCGATGCATTACTTGATGCCCCAGCCCGCTGCGGCCCGGCGGATCGTGACGGACCTGCCGACGGTGCTGCTGGTGGCGCCACAGATGACGACCCTTCATCTCGGCATGCTGCACGGCCACGGTCCTCAAGCTGTGCGGGCGCTGACGAAGCGGAGCATGAGGCTTCAGGTACCTATGTGGGTGGGGTGGGTACATTCAGTGTGTGAATCGATGACTGATTGACCTCTGTTGTGATGTGTTGCGGTGCATCCGCACACACAGGCCCCATCGAGGAAGTTGAGGGCCCTCCTGGCGGCCGCGCCGCCGGCAGTGGCGGCCATAGCCACGGCTCAGACACACGGCCCCCTGGGACCTGCCGTCGTCCAGACACTCACTGCAATGCTGCAGGGCACCGCAGCAGCGGCTGGTGCTGGTGCTGCTTCTCAGACGCACAACACTACCCCCACCCCCGCCCCCGCCCCTCCTCCCCCAACCCTGCACGGAGTCACGGCACATTTCACAGCACATGTGCCCCAAGGAGGGGCGGCGGCACATGTGACTGACGATAACCAGGACGATGGGGGTGGTGGTGGTGGTGGTGATGGTGATGGTGTTGCTGAAGACGTGCCCATCAGCTGCATTTTGGCGTTCCAGGACGTCTGGCCCTCGATACACACATTCGCGGTCAGTGAGTGAGTGAGCGAGCGCCCGTCTTGCCCGTGGATCCTTCATCGCACCTCGTTTCTCTTTGCCAATCGTGTGTGTGTTCGATCAGGTCTCCAACCTCAGCTGGTCGGTCGAGCCGCCTCCCCCGATATCCCAGGGCGGCATTCAGACCGACAAGCCGCTGCCCGTCTCCTCACCACCCACCGTCGGCCCCACCAGCCCCCGTGCAGTCGCACGCACCACACGCCCGCCACCCGCACCCCGAGACACCCCCCAGCCGTCACAGGCGAGCCGTGAGCTATGCTTCCACATCGAGGGGGATCTGCCGGAAGAGACTGCTACGGCGCACTACCTAGTGCGGTATGCTGGGCCTCTGCTGCGGTATGAGGGCCGGCATAGCAGGGCGAGCCTCTGGGGCGTGCTGCGGTTCTGTCAGGGGGCGGCGGAGCATGAGCTGTGGTCGATCTCGTAGTTGCTGGCTGGCAAATGGGGGAGATGAGGGGCGTGCAGATGCAGAGAGCCATGCAGGAAAGTGGCGGGCGGGCGATTTTCGGTGTATCTGGCCCGCCCGGGTAGTCTTCTGTTGTGATGGATGGATAGATCGACATTTTGGTGATTGATGGATTGACGCAGGGTGGGTGGCCGGGCGTGATGTCTGCCTGAGCTGTGTCTGTGTGGCGGCGAACGTGGAGTGGTGATGCAGCACTCTGTTATCACCTCTGTCCCTTCGTGACAGCAGGCCAGCAGACCAGGCAGACCAGCACCCTCCCGACCCCCATGAGTGTATGGGTGTACCCTAGTGTTTGCTTGCGGGATGGTTCTCTTGCCTCTGTCTGTCACCTGTATTCGGTGACGCTTTCCAGCGTCTGCAACGGCGGCCCGGTTGCCACAATCTTGGTTCCTGGGCTGCTGGTGTAGTTGTTGGAAAGGGTCAGCCACAGGTGAAGAGGTGCAGGCAGACAGGTGGGCAGGTAGAATTGACTTGACGCATGGGGGCCTGGTCGATTCGCAGGTCAGGCCACGTGTTTCGCACATGAGACGGATGCATGTATTTGTCCAGGTCTGTGTGTGCTGCTGGGCACCTGCATTAGACCGGCTGCTGCCGCCTACATGGAACGGACACACTGCTGTTAATTCAACTGGTTCGTTCAACGCACTGTGTCATCATCTTCGTCGTCTCAGCCTCAGCACAGCCGCCGCGCCACCAACCGATTTCACGTCATGGCCTTTTCCATGGCGCGAAATGCGTTGACGGGGCGGGTGCAATGCATCGACCGAGACGAGTGCAACGAACGGTCATCCAACGTTCGATCAATCGCGCCTTAACGAAAAAAGAGTGCATCGCTGTCTCAATGCGCTCAAGGGGCCACCGCGGCAACCGGCAGACAGGCAGACAGACAGGTAAGCAGGACCAGAGGAGACGGCCATTCGCCCGGTGGAGCGAAAAACGGCCACGGAGGCAGCGGGATCGGTCAGGCAGCCATGCGCTCAGTCAGTAAGGCAGGCAGGCAGGCAGCGATGCATACGTACGTGCATCAAAATGTCAATCTGTGTCAGGCAGGCAGGCAGACAGGCAGGAGCGATCGGGCGAGATGGATGTGTGACGTGTGTCGTGTGTGTCTGTGTGTGCAAAAGGGTGGCTAGCTCCACCATATTCCTCTCCAATCCATCCATCCGTCCGTCAGTCCATCGCCCCGCCCCATCCATGAGGGGTGGGTGAGTGACCGACCGACCGATTGAATCATGTGGCAGGCAGGCAGGCACACAGATAAGAGGGATGGATACCAAACCTGTCGTCTGCGCCCCCGTGTATCCACCCTTCCTGACCGCATCAAAACGGCATTTCGCGCAGTCATCTTCGTGGCTGCCCGAACCGTCGGAGTGCGGTCGGCAAGGGTGGACACACGGGAACGGGACGATAGACAGGCAGACAGGCAGACAGAGAAGGGCACTGGTCGACTCCACGGGAGACGGGCATCTATGTTTTGCGTGCTCGATGGACGGAATGGATGGATGGATGGATGGACGGGTGCAGTCAGTCGTAGGACATGAGCGTTAGCTGGGGCTAGCCAATGAGGTGAGGAAGTCAGGGAGTCAGTCAGAGTACTTAACCAAACCAAAAAGTGGAAAGACAATGAGACGCATCCATCATGACGCACCATGTCTATCCGTTCGTGACAGTAGTCAGTCAGCCAACGAGGTCAGCCATACAGACAGACAGACAGACAGACGAGAAATGCACTGCACAGGGGCTCCGCTCTGCTCCACCGGCCCGCCCCTTGTGTGTCCACTCTCTCCCCCCTCGCAGCCAGTCAGTCTCTCCCTTGTTCCCTCTTCCCTCCCCTGTATGTGCGCTGAGAGCTCCCCTTCCCAGCCGGCAACAAACACGACGTGACGACAAAACCACACAATGCACCGACAGACACGCACAGGCAGACAGGCAGGGTCGGGGGGGGGGTGGCTGATGTGGTGTGCCGATGGATGTGGTCATTCAAAAATGGACAAAAAGGACGGAGTGGCTGGGTGGCTGGGTGGGTGGATGGAGCCCTATGTTTCTCTCCCCTGCACCCTCCTCCCCCTCTCCCGACAGGCAAGCAAGCACCGAGCGGGTCAGCAAGCAAAAGGTCAAACGCCTCTCTCTCCCTCCCCCTCTCGCTCTGTGCTGCTACTGCTTGCCTGTACTAGTGTTGTATGCACAACAACACGTACACACACACGCTCCCCTCACACATTCATTCAAGCCCACACGTCCAGAGAGAAGGAGAGCCACACGCACACACGTCTGCACCTCTGTATGTGTCTGGGAGAGGTGGTGAGGTGTGTGTGTGGTGGCCTCTTCTCTCTCGCTCGCAGGGTCACCCTCAGCGCCGACACGCACACAGACAGGGATGGGAAGGAAGGAATGGAGTGCATGTACTGTACGTGTGTGTGCGGGCTTGTGTACTGACCTACCAAGCCCCGGATGTCTGTCTGCATGAAGGCAAGGCAAGGCAGGCAGGCAGGCAGCAAGGTTAGATTCAGACAAGACAGACAAGTAGGGGAGAAAGCAGCATTAAAGCAGAGAAATATACAGCACGCCTCCCACAAGACGACAAAAGAGGCGAGACGAGAAAACAAAAGAATCCCACACACACCTTTTCCCGACCCAGAAAAACAAAAGCCAGGGAGACAAACATGAGCGATAGGCACGCACAGACAGACAGACAGACAGACAGGCTACCCACAAGACTACCCACCACTGCCCATTCCTCACTCAACGTTCGTCTCCCTGAAGTTGACTGACCCCCATCCACCACTTCATTCACTTATTGTGCGAGCATGACGGGCACCCCGGCGGCCTCCCACCTCTGCTTGAGCGCTGCAACCTTGTCCTTTGGCGGGGGCTGCATGTCCTCAAACACGTAAGGCAGACCAAGGTTCTTCCACTGGTCGATGAGGGGGAAACACAGCACACAAGACAGCACGGTGGTGTTTGCGCGTGTGTGTGAGTGTGTGTGTGTGTGTGGTGGGGCTGTGTGCAGAGACCGACCTTCTCGACGCCGAGCGTGTGGTAGGGCAGGAGTTCCACCCCTTTGCAGCTCGAGTGGGCCTTGACGAAGTTCTGAAAGGCCGCGCCGCAGAGAGAGAGGTGAATTGAATGCAGGTCATGTCAATCAACACAGGTAGGTAGGTGCACAGGCATCAATACTCACCTCGCAGTGTGTGTATTCGAAGTCGTTGTCGGTGTGTCCGGGTATGAAGAGAAACCGCAGCCACCAGGGGATGCCCCGACGCTCCAACTCCTCTGCAAACTCATACTGACACCACACACACACACACACACACACATATAAACGTCTAGTCTAATACCCATCTGTCTTCTCTTCGCTCACTGCACTGACCGCCGATTTGTGTGTGGATTTGGTGAGTTCTTTGTATTTGTGGGGGTCGAACGACTTGAGGCACAGCAGCACCAGGTCGGTGTGGGGCAAGGTGATCTGCCACGAACGCGTGTTGCCGAAACCCGTCGTGTCAAGACACGTGGTCAGACCCAGCAACTGACACACAACACACGCAAGGGACGGATGTTTCTCTGCCTGTGTCTGTGTGGGTGTGTGGTGGTGGGGTGTGTGGGCGTACGTGTGCCTCTTCAAAGACCGCTGCGATGAAGTGTGGCTGCATGAGCGGTTCGCCGCCCGAACAGGTGATGCCGCCGCCGTTGGGCTTGAGGTACGGCTTACACTTGCGCAGCTGCTTCGCCACTGCCTTGGACGACATCTACATAAGAGAGACACATACATCACATCCACACTCATCACTTTGATGCGCTGCATGTGCTGATATGTGGGTGGAGGTGGTTGAGGGGCGTAGGAGGGAGGCTGTGCTCACCCACCTCGATGCCGCCCTTTGGGTCCCATGAGTCGGGGTTTGCACAAAACACACAACGGCGAGGGCAGCCCTGCACAGCACAGCACACACTCAGAGGACATTCCATTCACACATGAATGAATGGATCAGACAAACCAATCGTGTGTGCATCTCTCTCTCTGCATGGGTCGGGGAACGTACCTGAGTGAATATGAGGTACCTGAGCCCCGGCCCGTCCACGGCCGTCATGGACTCAACCGAGTGGACACGCCCCGTCACCTACACACACACACACACACACACACACACACACACATGGACGTGCAGACAGAGTCATTGTCTCTCTAGCTATCCTGCATGCTTCCACGTTGGCTCACATCTGGTATTTGCTCAGACGATCGGGGCGTGTCGCCATGCATAAACGCCGCCTCACGCGCACTGCACACAAAACACAAAGGACACAATGAAACAGATAGATAGACATCTGTGCCATTCACCCATCCATCCATCCATATCTCTGCTTACAGTTCTCCCTTGCTGCCCATGACGTCCTCGATGCTGAGGTCGTGCAGCAGCTGCATCATCTCCCTGTCCGCCTTGTCACTCCCAGGCGGACCCAGCTGCGGCGTCCGCAACGCCCCATGCGGCGAGTGGTCTATCGTCAGACTGCTGGCGATGCCGCCAATCGAAGTCTGCGAGTGGCGCGTCTTCTTGGACACGCGAATATCGAGCGGCGCGGGCCGCATCGAGTCCAGGTGGCTCGACAGGGACAGCCGTGAGGCGTGCCTCACCGACTCCGGGACGATGAGCTTCGGCAGGGTGTTCTCGTGGGATGGCTCTGGCTCGGGAGGGATGGAGAGGGGGGGAGGCTGGTGGGAGGAGTGGGAGTGGGGGTGGGGCAGGGCGGCTGTCCTCCTGTTTGTTGCTGGGAGAAGCAGCTTGGGCCAGAGCGTCAGGAAGCGCCATAGCGGCCTCAGGATGACCACGGCGCCGACAGACAGGTGGCTAGGCAGGTGGTGGACAAAATACTGCCACCAGTAGCTTACGATCTCAGACATCCTCGTTGAATTGCCTCAAAAAAAGGTTGGTTCAGGCGACAAGAGGCGGTTTCACGGTTCCCACAAATCATGCGAGCTTGAAAAGAGAGAGACTGCTGTCCTTGATTCGTCCCAAAGGAGCGCTTTCAGGACACGACGGCGCATTCTTAGTGTTTGTGACCCCGCATCATGACGTCGAACGGGCCGGTGTCGTCTCCTGCAGGCCTGCAGCCGGCGAGCACCACTAGCAGCGGCGTCAAGATGACGCCCGACCCGCACAACCCCAAGTCGCCCAACCTCGGCCCGCGGAGCCCCTCGCCGCACTCTCACGGCGACCCGAACGTGGAGAACGACCCTCGGTATATCACCTTCCCGACGGCTGCTGACGAGGGCGACGAGGAGGAGCACCTGCTCGGGTTCGACTACAACCAGCTGCCGACGTACCCGGTGCGGCCGTCCTTCAAAGATAAGCCGGAGGAGGCCAACATGGACACGCACATCGTGGCCTTCGACCCCTGCAAGCTGGACCCTTACCACCCAACTAGCATGCCCATCTACCAGACAGCCACCTTCCAGCAGCCCTCCATTGAGAGGTTTGGGCCCTACGATTACACGCGGTAAGTGAAGTGGGTGACGGAGGCAGGGAGGGAGGCACCAAGGGAGCAACAGACACACGCATACGAGAGCCATTGTGTGTGTGTGTGATCACACAGTTCTGGTAACCCCACTCGCACAGCAGTAGAGGAGTTGGTGGCGTCGCTGGAGTCGGCGCACGCGGCCTTTGCCTTCAACTCGGGCATGGCCGCCATGACCGCCATGACCAGGCTGTGCGACGTACGTTCACTACCACACACTCACATGGATGTGTGGATTGACCTTCATTGAGGCGTGTGTTGTGTGCGGTCGGTGTGTGCAGATTGGGGATGAGATCATCTGCAGTGATGACATCTATGGCGGCGCACACCGACTTCTGACGCGCATCTGCGCCAAACAGGTGGGTGCGGTGCGTCACGCTCCCGCATTCCTTGCTGAATAGGCAGGCACACGTGTGCATTTCTGTCGGTCTCTGTGTCATTCCCTCTCTCAGGGCATAGCGACTCGTTTCGTCGACACCACCGACGTGGACGAGATCGCCCGTGTGATAAGTTCCAAGACCAAGATCGTGTACATCGAGACGCCGTCCAACCCTCTCATGAGGATCAGCGACGTCAGGAGATGCGCCGGTCAGGCACACACACACACACACGCACACGCGCGCGCGCGCATCAGGCGTCCTTATCTCTATCTCTCTGTGCCCATCCATCCGTTTGTGTGTGTGTGTGTGTGGATGTCAGATTTGGCTCACAAGTACAAGGCGTGGCTGGTGGTTGACAGCACGATGATGAGCCCCTACCTGATGAACCCCATCAAGCTCGGCGCCGACGTCATCATTCACTCGGCTACCAAGTTCCTCGCAGGACACTCCGACACCATGGCCGGTAAGCCACACACACACCCACACCCACACACCCACCCACACACACACACACAGACTCAGACACACACAAAGGAGATGAGCATGCAACATTCTGTGCGTTGCATTCGGTGTCTGTCAGGTTTTGTGTGTTGTTCGTCTGAGGACCTTGCCCGGCAGATCGCCTTCGTGCAAGTGAGCCCACGCACCCACCATACCCCACCCCGCCAGCACACCAACAAACACACAGACCGCACCGAACACCCATCTCATGTGTGTAAACATATCAGAATGCTGAGGGCTCAGCACTGTCGCCGTTCGACTGCTGGCTGACGTTGCGGGGCCTCAAGACGCTCGCCATCCGGCACGATCGCATGCAGCAGACCGCCAGCGAGATCGCCGAGTTCCTCGCCAAACACCCACTCGTGAGCAAGGTGCACTACGCCGGACACCCCAAGGACCATCCTGAGGGCGCGTTCGAGCTACACAAGAGCCAATCAAGGGGCGGAGGTCAGTGTTGCCGCACACATACAGAGAGGGAGAGGGAGAGGGAGAGAGGGGAAGAGTGTGTATGTGGGGAATGTATGTGTGCAGGTTCGGTGATCAGTTTCGAGACGGGTTCGGTTCGGTATTCGCGCAAGATCTGCGACTTCTGCAAGATCTTCAAGATATCGGTGTCGTTCGGGTCGTGCAACTCGCTCATCGAGATGCCCTGCGTGCTCTCACACGCCTCCATCCCAAAAGACATGAGGGGCATCCCTGAGGACATCGTCCGGTCAGCCAACACACACCCACACACACACTCTTTCCCTCTCCTTCTTCATCTCTCTCTCTCTCTCTCACACACCACATGCAGACTGTCCGTCGGTCTCGAGAACGCCTCCGATCTGCTCGCCGACCTCTCGACGGCCATGAAGCGTGCACTGGAGTTCTTCCAGCGGCACAGTGCGCGCCCCTCCCCCGCACACGTCGACAACACCGACACGCCGTCGCCCAGCACGTCGTCGAACCCCAAGCTGATGGTCAACGGTGTCAACGGCACCAATGGCCACATCAACGACATCAACGGCAACGGCAAGAGGGCGCTGCTGCCGTGTGCTGCTGACAGTGAGGTCAGGGGGGAGGGAGAGAGGGAGAGGGAGGAGGGGGCGGCTGAGAAGCGACTGAGGACGGAGGCATGATGCGCGGATGGATGGATGGATGTGTGTGTGTGTGTGTTTGTCGTGCGTGTTGGGGTGGAGGGATGGGTGGGTGTGTACGATTTTGATGCCTTGTGGTGGTTGGTTGGTGCGTTATGGCGGGTGTGGATGGTATGGGGTCGCATTGTGTGGGTGGCGACGGACGGCCGGACGTATTTGAACAGATCGCTGTTGGCTTGGCCTGTCTGCTGGAATCACTACTGTGTGCTCTGCTGAAGATGCCCACGATGACTCCTCAGGCATTGAGGCAACGGCTCTCTCGCAACTCAGTGGGGAGAGCCTTGGCCTCACTGTTGGCGGGCGAATCGGGGGCATCAGCTGAGAGCAACACACACACACACACACACATATATATCACATGTATCGTTGTAAGAACAGTTATTGTGTGCCTGCGGTTTATGGGGTGGGCTGATAGCTTCTCTTGTGCGCTGCCGTGATGGCGAGTGAGATGTCAGCGTCCCATCACACATGGGACTCAGGCATCTGTAACCCGTTCCGGCATCGTACAAGAGGACCTATCGGTGCCCACGCCTCCCCGATGGATGGATGGACTATCACTGCTGGCTGGATTGGTCGGACACTGTCTGGTTATTGCGTGTATGTCGTCGTGTACATGAAGCATTAATTCTCACTATGTCTGTGTCATGTGGACGGGTGGGCCTCCGCCGTTTCTCATGGCTGGCCTGTCGCTCTCGTATGCGCTAACGCGACATACGCAGAAGCGATGGGACCGTCGAGGGAGACGCGGAGACACCCTCCCTACAGACAGACAGACCAAAGACATCCGTATCTCCGTCCCCCCGTTTCCCCCTCCCCCTTTGCACTGCTGCGGCATTCCCTTTTTTCGGAACGCTTGCGTCGCTTGCTTGTGTTGACCGACACTCGACTTGACCCCTCACTCGACCACTGACCGACCGACCGACTGAGACTGCGCCACCCACCCACCCTCACTTTTTGCCGAGACTCATGAGAGGGAGGGGCGGCCTGGTGTGTGTGTGCTGTGAAATGCTCGATGCAGTGGGGCTGATGTCTGTCTGTCTGTGTGGTGGCATGGTAGGGGATGGATCGTATCGACTCGACAGACTGTGCAGCGATGGGTGGACGGCGTGTGTCGAGGCGAGAACGATCTTCTTGCTCGACGCTAGATGCTGGCTGGATGCGGTGCACGGAAGGGCCAACAGAGGAGGGAATGTACCTATCGTGCAGGCAGTCATGTGTGGTCACTGGAACAGCTGCAGGCTCGTGTGTCGGCCTGTGAGGACAAATTGCATCGTCATGTGTGCGTGGTTGAATCAATCGTGGTGTCACAAACTGATTGATATTCGCCTTGTTGTGGATTCGAATCCGCACACCACACACAACACAATGGCGAATCAAGAGAAGGCAGCGCTATCTACGATAAGCCCAGTCAACACCTGCACAGCAAGACCTGGTGTCCCCACCAATTGTATACCTGCAAGAAATACTAAATACCCACGCCCACATCGCTTGAATATATAGCCACAAATGGCGCGCTACATGAATGCACCATCCACACGCACACAGCGCACCCCAGGCACCCACCCCCTCAGCTGCATGGCTACGACCTGTAGGCGGTTGGAGAATGCCACACGCAAAACCATACCAAAAGAGGCAGCGCCATCTACGATAAGCCCAGTCAACACCTGAACAGCAAGACCTGCTGTCCCCACTAATTAATTGTATACCTGCAAGAGCTACTTCCCGCCCCGGCCCACACCTTCATTGCTTGTACATGAAGCCACAAATGGCACACTGCACGCATTCACACACACCCATGCACACGCACCCCAGGAACCCCACTCACCCACCCCAGCTGCATATAGCTACGACATGTAGACCGCCCCCGACCTGTCGCGGTCAAAAGGTTTGCGGCACATGGGGCACTCTCTCCTGCGGTACTTGCGCCAGCACTTGTCGCACAGACACATGTGGCGGCAGGGACTCAGCACAATGGTGGCGGGCTGAGCCTCGTCCATGCAGACGACACACTTCTGTAGGTCATCGGCCTTTTCCTTGGCCTGCACCTCCAGCTCACGCAGCTGCCGCTCCTGGTCAGACACGCCGGCCAGGCGGCCCATCAGCCGGTCGCGAGCAGACGCCAGCTGCTGCATGGCCTCTTGGATGTCGCTCTGGAAACTTCGCACGCCCTCCTGGTCGGTGTGCTCCAGCCGGTCAGCAGACAACCTGATGACAAAGGCATGCATGACGAGAGACAGGCCAGCGATACGTTGATTTTTCGTTCTTTTAAGTGGCGCCCACCTGTCGATGCTAGCAGAGTCGAGGCAGCCCACGTCTGCCTGCAGCTCCCGGACAGATGCCTCTAAACTGCACACACACAAACAATGGAGAAAGGACAAGCAGGCAACGTCACCGCGTGGCGTCTTGATGTTGCCTACTCTCGGATCTTCTTGTGTGCGGCGTCCCTCTCTTTCACGGTGCCGTCCAGGCGAGCCTTCATCCTGAGAGGGAAACCAGTCGGCATGTGGCTGAGCGGTGCCTTGTGTATCAGAACAGCCGCTCACTTGTCCTTTTCGTCAGTGAGGGTGTGGGCCTGTCGCTGGGCGGCAGCTATGGCCTCGTCCTTGCTGGCCTTCTCCCTCTCGGCCACCTCTACCTGCTTGTCTAACCTGCACCAGACACAGACCCGTATGGCCGATGCAGCTGTGCCTCGTTAGTGTCCTCACCTGGTGGTCAGCTGCTTGGCCTCCTTCTGGGCTTTGGTGCATTCTTGCTTCGCCTGCTGCAGCGATGTGCTGAGGGACTTGACCTTCTGACGGTCAGACTCTCCCCTGCACCGCACGTATAAGTGTAGTCCCCTCTGCTCTGCTGGCTGGTTCTTCTCACTTATCGCGTTCGGCATGCAGGGTGCTCTCTGTCTGTCTGAGGGCCTCTCGGGCAGCATCGCGCTCGCGGATGGCCGCCGAATACTTCTCCTGCCAGCGCTTGACGACTTCTCCACATCTGCAATTCATCAGACACACATGGCAGACACATGATTTCTTATGCCGAAGTGGTGGCTGTCACCCACCTGGTTTCATTTTCGGCGGGATCGGCGTCTGCCGGCCTCGCTGGGGTTCGTGTGGCGTCCTTCTCATCCACAGCGTCACTGCAACCCATCGCACACACAAGACAGTGCTTTCTGCACGACGGTTGCTGCCACCTACTGGGTGATGCTCTCTGCGGCATCAGTGTCTGGGCGGCTTGCCTCCATTCGGGTGCCTTCCCCCTCATCCCGAGTACGGCTCTTCTTCAGTCTGTTCTTATCGCGCTTGCTGAGGCGCTGTGTGCCCGCTGAAGTGGTGCCAGTAAAACCACAGACAGACCCATCATCATGCAGCCGTTGTCATATTTTCCGTTCTTTGTCCGTTTCTTACCTTCTACAGATTCCTTCAGCCGATCCATGGGCTTTTCCTTGAGCCATCTGATGGCGAAGAGCAGACGGCGACGCATCCGCCGATTGGCCAGCAGCAGGACCGCAACACAGCAGAGCACCAGAGCCACAGACCACGGCGAGGAGAAGAACCGAATGAGGTGAGTCTTGTCTGCAGACAACGAACGCACCAAAGACAATGGTCTGCCACAAGCAAAGAACACTTCCTCTTCGTTCGACTCACATTCGTGGAATTTGAGGTGGCATCCGAGAAAAATGTGACCCTGCAGACAGGCAGCCATGTAGCAGCACCATTCTGCAGGGGTGAGCTACAGAGCCCACACAGCACAGCCTGCATACCTCGTTGAACGCCCTGCCGGCCGCCGTCAGTTCGTCGCCAAAGCGGCCAGCGATTGTCGGGTCAGCAAGGGCCTTGAGTAGCCTGGTAACTGTGTCAGAACATCCCCTGCACGAAAGCAACAGCACAAAGAAAAACATGGATACACACAAGGTGTGTGTGAGTAGAGTAGCTCACCCCGCTGCAGCTACATGAAGTGCAGTGACTCCGAGAAGTCCGACAGCGTTGACATCAGCTCCATACGATAAGGCCAGCTCAAGCATTCTGCTGTGGCGGTCATCACACCGATCGAAACCGAGGGAGCGGTACAGCTCAATATGATGTCCATCGCTGCACGTGCACCCGCAGGCCAGTAACAGCAGTGTTTCCGCAGCAACGTTGCAGCCTCCCACTGCGTTTGGGTCCGCCCCGTGTCGGAGCAACACCTCCACTGCGCCAACACGTCCTCGGCTTGCAGCCACATGAAGGGGGACCAACCGTCCTTCGTTCGTTTCGTTTACGTGTGCACCTGAATCGGACGAATAAGGACAGGTGACGGAGGTGACACGCCGTATATCCTGGCGCTCACCGAATTCTATGAGCGCTTCGACGACGTCTGGCGAGCCGCCATTGTAGACGGCAACGAACATCGGAGTCTCTCCTGCTATGTCGAGGCCATTCACGTCAGGAGCCCTTCTGCTGCTGTTAGCTGCCTCCAGCAGGGCCCTGACGACCGCAGCGTCACCCGTCATCGCAGCATAGTGGAGCGCCGACCTCCCCTCGCTATCGATGTCGTCGATGGCTCGCATGTGAGGCAGCAACAGCTGCACCATCTGCAGGGGACTCGTGCCGTTCTCGGACCACACGAGGGCTGTCCTGTTGTCGGGCTGACGCTCATTCGGATCCGCTCCCTCATCCAACAAGAGGGACACGAGAAAGCTATTGCCCTGACAACACAAGAATGCCAAGTATAGAGTTGACAAGGCTATGTCATTTCCCCGAGACACCCGGCTTACGTGGAAAGCAGCACGTTTGAGTCCCATGGCGAGGTCCACACTGCTCACGGAGCTGTTTGTGGACTCGTCAGTGTCATCCAGCATCGCGCGAATCCTCTCTACACATGCAAGATGATCGTTTTGCTCACCGACGTGGTTGCCTCGGCTATTTGCACTTACGGTCTTCATAGTCCCTCAAGCGTTTTGCGAGAGCAGGATGACCCTGCACACATTTCAACCGACAAGCAGTGGCACATGGGCATAATGCATAGAATCGACAGCAGTCCAAGTTACGGAGTTATCAGCCACTTCAGCAGGCGCGCCAGCCTTCGCGGGAACCAGGGGATTGGCAGATGCGTCTATGAGAATGTCCACTAGCTCATCGCAGCCGCTGCACAGCCAAAGAGAGCCAGCCAGCAGTGAAGAATGACCATAATCGGATGGCGCTTTCGTTACCCCATCGCAGCGTAATGAAGAGGCTGCCATCCATTGTGGTTACGGGCGTGAATGTCGGCTCCTTTGTCAAGCAATATCTTCACAATCTGGGCCTTGTTGCCCGAGTTGCAACCGAGCCCCGATCCGCAGGTGCAAGCGCTCCCTACCATCAACGCTGATATCTGCCGTCCGCCGCGTCGGTGTATGTCCGCAACATTCTTCAACAATATCTCCACACTCTTGACTCGCCCCTGCACGTACAAAAAGGTCGAGGCAGCTGCCTTCCATGTTGCTCGTGCATTGTGAAAGTGTCGCCCCTTTGCTGCAGCTTCGATGAGTGGGCTGACGGTAAGGTCGCGTGATTCACGAACGGCGCCTTGCGCCTCTATGTCGGCACCTGACACACAAGTAATAAGAGAATCTCAACAAAACTTTGTTGCCCGTGGTACCCCCCTCTCCCTCCTACCGTGGTCCAGGAGAGTCTGGACAACGTCAGCGAATTCGCCGTGATTCACAGCGACCAACAAAGGAGTGAGTCCGCCGCTGTCCCGTCCATTGACGTCCGGCAGCCGCGCATCGCCCCGCACCTTCCCGGTCGCATTGAGGAGCGCTCTCACCACATCGTTGTCGCCCCTGGTTGCCCCGTAGTGCAGAGCCGACCTCCCTCTTTCATCTCGGACATCCAGGTCGGTCACGTAGGGCAGCAGCACCTCGACCATCTTCCGCGGCAGAGTGCCATCAATCGCCCACATGAGTGACGTCTTGTTGTCGGGCCTGCCCTCATTGGGATCGGCGCCTTGGTCAAGGATGCGCTGCGCCAACACTACATCCCCCTGAAGGCGACAAACAGAGGATCACACACGACAAATGCACAGGCGCTGCCATGCCCCTCACACACCAAGAGAGCAGCGTGCTTCAGCTCCCGGACAGCCTCCAAACCGGCCGATGGCCGCCCTGCAAAGCAGAAGGATGTTGACGAATGAATGCAGTGCGGTCGGTGTGGTTGGTTACCTGCGTGACCATTTGCTGCAAGGAGGAGGGAGATAAAAAACAACATCATCATGACCTCGTCCCTTCGCCTCAAGACGCCATCACAGCAACTTGGCGATCTGAGCTCGCCTCTTCCCCAGAGGAGATCTCTGCTCTTTTCGGCCCGTCCCGTGCAGCAGACGGCCTCTCCCACAAAGTCCAAGCGGGATCTCTCACGTCTGATCCATGACCCACGCCGCCCAGCTGCTGCTTTCGATAGGGATACGTATCGCCTTTCTCTCCCTCATCGCCACGCCATCAGCCCATGCTGCCCATCAGCTGCCCGTCGGACCACTGCTACCATCCTCCCAGCTGTGCTCACCGGCCACTCTACTGCCGAACGGCGGCGCATCCGAGGCAAAAGATCACCTTCGCTGCGACTGGAGCCGGCATGATTCGTCCCACTCGTGCTGTGACGCCGAGACGGCGGTGCTGCAACGGACGATGATCGACCAGGTTGAGTCGATGAAGACTGTCTACGGCAGCCCCATCCACAGCGTCCTCACCAACTTCCACCCATCCCTCGACACCAACAGCAATATTCGTGCCGCGTGCCTCGATGCCGTCAAGGAGCTCTTCAACAGCCGGCTGGCGGCCATCCGCAAGGCTTTGCCGGTCATCGACCGGGCGACGGGCTTCATGGCGCAGGCGGCCGACGAGATGCTGTGTCGGCAGTGCTTTTTGCCACGTGTGGTGTCGGTCAATGCGACTGCTAATGCGACAAATGCGACAGAGGGAGAGGGACAGTGCATAGAGAGGGAGGCTGAGGGTGGATGTTTGGACGAGAGGAGTTTTGAGTACCGGAGTGGAGTGTTCCATCTGGCGGTGCTGGACGCCTACCAGCAGCTGTATGGCACATACACGGCTGTGTACGCCGAGACGGCGGAGCTGTTGAGGGCTGCCAGGAGCAACGGGACGGATGACTGCCTGCCCGTCGCCTATCTGCAAGAAATCACCGCAGGTAGGTCCCCACCGACCACACGCATGGTATGCACCCTCGACATCGATGTGTGTGCATGCTCATATTTTAGGTGTGCAGCTGCGTAGTTTTCTCGAGGACGATGTGGCCTTCAAGACCGCCCTGCCGTTCCGCCCATACAGAGACCTTTCCCCACCACCACCAGACACATCACCAACGATAGAAGAAGAACATGATGATTTCCGCATGGACAACACCAATAGCAATTTCAGCAGCAGCACGAGGGACGAGCAGGGCACGTTAAAGCAGCTTGAGTCGTACCGGGGCGTCATATCCTGGCGGCTGTGGGTGGGGCGGGTCGCTGGCAGCATATTCGGCGGCGCACTCGCCATCACTGAGGAAATACTACTCATGTGTAAGTCATCCAGCACACACACGGAGAGAGAGAGAGAGATGCGTGTGTCTGTCTGTCTTTGTGTGTGCAGTGTGGTGCTACACGGCCGATGTGGGCAGCGCCTTCACCCACCTCATGTGGGCGAAGCACAACGATAATGACACCTCGGGTGCCGTCCCCCGAGCGGCGTGGCTGCCGCCATTGCTGCTGCCATCGATGAGGGAGACCCGCCAATATGACACTGCCGTCATCATCGGTAGGTGTACATGGAAATGGGCAGCGTGAGCAGGGAGTGAGCCAAACGAGAAAGGTGTGTCTGTCTTGTGTGTTGGGGGTGTATAGGTTTGTCGAACCGTGTGCCTCGTTGGGTGGTGGACCGGGCGCTTGGCGACGTAGTCGCTCTGCTCAAAGCCAATCAGGTGAGACCCATAGATGAGATCAACACATCCAGTGTGCGCGTGTCTGTGTGTATGTGGGTGTCAGGGCGGTGTGCACTTCATCTTTGTGGAGGACTCCATCCCAAAGAAGCGGCTGTGGCGCACTCTGACGGCGACACACATGGGGCACATAGCCAACGCGACGTGGCAGTGGAACACACCACACACAAGTTAGAGGATGGACGTGTGGTGTGTTGGTTGGCCTGACACTCATGTGTGTCTATCTGTGTGTGTGATAGATTCTACGGTGACGTGTGTGTGGCGGCGACACCATCACAGCCAAATCGATTGGGCCCAGATAGGCAGCCTCTACGCAGCCAATACAGCCGTAAGCACACACACACACACACACGCACGCACACACACAGGGAGTGGTGGATGCACCTCTTCTGTCTCTCTGCAGCAAGCCGTCTCAATCGACCTCCACGCCCTCGTCAACAACACCCCCACTCCCCCAGCCCACCTCTTCTCAGCCCCCCTGATGCAGGCCATCCCCCACACCGCCCACGCACGCCGGCTCACCCAGTACGCCCCATGCGCCGTCGGCTCCACCCCTCTCCACCCTCTGTCAGACGACATGTGCACCAACCCCCTGGACGTCCTCTTAGCCGACTATGCCGCACGCCATTCCCGCTTTGTCGGCACTGTGAGGGCCGCTGGGAGGACCGCAGAGGGCGACGGCGCATACAAGTGGCCGGCCGGGGAGGCCCACACAAAGGCCCTCGTTTACACGTGCACGTCGGTCGCTCAGTGCGGCGGCAACGGGGACCGTCTGAACGGCATCATCCAGACCTTCCTGCTGGCCGTTCTGTCCGGGCGGCTGTTCTTTCTGCACCACCGGACGCCGATTATGTGGTCGCGGTTGTGGGTGCCGAATCGGGTGGATTGGCGAGTGGCCGGGGGGGCGGTGTGGGCGGACCCTTCGAGGCATAACGGCATTGACGACGTGCACACGCTGCTGGACGACCTGCACCATCTGGTGGGGGAGGAGGCCCCGACGGCGATCGTCATGACCAACATGAGGCGGGCCCATGCAGTCCTCACACACCCAACACTCAGGTGCATTCGACGCATGCGGTCAGGGGACCTGGATGTGATGTGTGTGGTGATATCCATGCTATGCATCCCCCTAGGTCCCGTGCGGCCGCGCTAGGGCTGCTCTCTCTGCCCCATCTGGCCCATCATGTCTTCCACTACCTCTTCCGCCCATCACCATTCCTGCTGGAGCAAGTCGCACGGGCGAGATCGCGCACATTCGCCAATCCCGAGAGGCCATACATCGGGCTTCACTTCCGCGCCGGCGACCAGAGCCCCGAGCAGTGGAAAGACCCACCACGGTGAGCGAGTCAGGGAGAGAAACGGAGAGAGAGGGAGAGATACATGTCTGTGTGTGTGTGTGTGTGTGTGGTGCAGGCATCGACTGGATCAGATAGGGGCATTCCTGCGCTGTGCCGCCCACATAGAGAGCGACCTGGGGCTGCCCGCCGACACGCAGTGGTTCCTCAGCGCAGACACGTGGAGCGTCCTCAACGTCACAGAGGTCAGTGCCTCATACATACAGCCGCGACACATTCACACCCGTTCTGTGCTGTGTGTGGCGCATTGCGTGCAGGTGTCTGGTTTGCGCACGTCTGGCAAGCTGGTGGTGCATGAGGGCTCCGGCCAGCTGGTGCACATCGACCGGTCCAGCCTGCAGACAGCCGCGTTGGGCGCCGTGGATGCGTTCGTCAACCAGCAGCTGCTGGCCGCCGCAGTAGCCCTTGTCGCATCCAGAAGGTAGGCGCCCACACACATCCTTCAGCACGTGTGTTAATGTGTGTGAGTGTGTGTGTGTGTTGGTGGATCAGCTACTTCGGTGAGACGGCTGCCGAGGTGATTGGCGGTGTGCGGCACGTCTACTACTGGCACGGCTGCTTCAGAATAGACCTCACGGCCTCATGAGAGAGAGAGAGGTGTGGAAGCAGGTTGTCTGTTTGTGCAGCGGTTAGGTCTGTCTCGCTGTCAGTCAGTGCGGTTGGAGTAGTCAGTGTACAGGAGAGCGGCTGGCTGGCGGGCTTGTGCGTGTGGTGCATGCCATGTGTCAATAGTGAGTGTGTAGAACATAGTTACATGTACATAAAAAAAGATGGACAAAGGATGCTTGTTTGAGTGTGGGCGGTGATGGGACTCACTCAACTGTCGCCATCAAGTGCATAACTGCCACGATGCATTCGCACTATCTCACTTCACTCATACAGTCGCAACACACACACACACACACACACATGATACGCACACGTCTTGAAAGACCGGGCTCCCCCCCTGTCATCTCCCCTGCTGCCCGTCCTCTTCTGTCTTGTTCTTGTCGATCCGCACCACGAACCCATCGAGCGTCGACTGCTTGTTGCGCGGGCTGCGGGAAGGGCCCAGCGACAGCGGCGCCACCTTGGGCGTCACCTTAGCACGCTTCTTCGTCAGCCACCCTTGGCTGCTGCTGTGAGCACCACCTGAGACACACACACACACAGACACACAGAGACGAAGATACACAGAGAGGAAGACACATCGATGTGTGCGTACCTGCACTGCTGGATGTGGCGAGAGGCTTGGGCGTGATGGGCTTGGTTTTGCCTCCGCCCTTCCTGGCCGCTTCAGCGAGCGGCCTCGACGAGTCATGCCCCGGGGGGTCCCTCCCCGCTCCTCCTATATCATAGGCTAGCATCTCTTCACTCTGCTGGCTATCGTCTGCAACAGACGTGTGGTCACTGCCCCACCCCCCACCCGCACCGCCATCACCCCCACCACCAGCAGCAGCAGCCGCCGCAGCCGAAGCCGCCCTCTCCTCTCCCCCTCCCCCTTCATCCCTCTGCGCGTCATCGGCACTCCCAGCGGCATCTCTCGACCGTTTCGACAGAACCACTCGACGTGGCCTCACGCTGCTGTGTGGCTGCCGTTCAGCCGGTGGCTCATTGCCCAGGTCGAGGACCTCCTCACTGTCGCCGTGCTGACTATCTCCCTCGGCCTTCTTGTGGTCGACGGGCGATGGTGACGCCTCAGGGCCCACCTGGGGGCTCATCCCCTGGATGCCCACAGCAGCCCTCTCCCCTTCTCCCTCACCCGAGGCCGCCGCTGCAGCCTGGGCGCTCTCGACGTTCCCGAGCTGCTTGCGCTTCAGGCGCCGTGGCCTCTCCCTCAACGGCACATCGGCCGACGGCTGCTCATGTGCGTGAGGGGCCTCATGGTTGTTGTCGTGACGATCACTCTGCTCGTCTTTGATGTGATCAGAATGGGCTGCGGGTGGCTGGGGGGAGAGCTGCCGGGGTGAGGGAGGGAGGGGTATGTCGACATCGTTGTATGTCGGACTCGGCTGGTAGTTTGCTATTGCAATAGTCGTCTGAATGACACCACACACACACAGAGGCAGGACTTATACGTACACGAGAAGGCCAGCATGCAGCTCTCGTCTTTACCAGCAGATTGCTGGCTGAGGGCTCCCCGTGCTCCGCATCAGAGGGCTCCTGGTCGTCGTGATTTCTGATGGCAGAGTGGGCTGCGGGTGGCTGGGGAGAGAGCTGCTGGGGAGGAGGAGGAGGCGGTGGGGGTGGGACCTGGTGGGGGTAGATGAGTGGAGGCACTATGTCGACATCGTTATATGCTGGGCTCGGTTGGTAGTTGGCTACTGCCAGAGTGGTCTGAATGAAACCACACACAAGAGAGACAGGCAGGGGCATGTATACATGAGAAGACTAGCATGCTCTCATCCTCACCAGCAGATTGCTGGCTGAAGGTCCCTCATCAGGGGGCTCCTGGTCGTCATGATGCCCGATGGCAGAGTGAGCCGCGGGTGGCTGGGAGGAGAGGTGCTGGGGTGGGGCCATGTCGACATCGTTGTATGCTGGACTTGGCTGATATTGCGCTATTGCCTGAGTGGTCTGAACGACACCACACACACACACACACGCACACACACAGACATGCATAGAGAAGGCCAGCATGCAGCTCTCGTACCAAGATGTTGCCAGCCGAAGGCTCCTCCTGTTTTTGTGATTCGGGCATTGACGAGGGGAAAAGAGGGGGCGGGGGCGGCATCAACTCGCTGTCAGCAGGCTTCTCGCGCGGCTGGATGTCATCGAAGCCCTGGGTGGGCTGATGCTGTGCTATGTACTGCGACGTCTGAACGTGGGGATACGGCCATTACATTTGCTCGTTGAAGCAGTCTTGCTGCGCGCTACCATGATCATCGAGTTGGTGATTTCATTGCCGTCATTTTGGGCAGCAGGCGAGTCGAAGGCCTCGAGAGGAGCGGCGGGCTCCTTCGCAACGACCAGCGGCCCATCTGACACACAGAAGGGCACATGAGATCCGGGACGGATGGATGGATGTGTGCCCTTTTGCGGTGAATGGATGGCTGACCATTGAATGCCTGGCTCGGCACATAGCGCTGAATGTACGTATCAGTCTGCACAACACCAGCAACACACACACACACACTAAATGCCCTTCTTTCTCGGGCGCATGGCCGTGCGTACCATCGTGTTCCCCCGCTCATCATCCGGGAAATCGTCCTCTCCCGGCATGATGACGTCGCCCCACCCCAGGCTCCTCCCCTGCTCGTCCATCCCCTCTCCTTCCACCTCTCTCTCCCCATCTCTCACAACACCATTCGCAGCTGAGGCCTGTCTGCGCGGCGGCGACTCCTCGATGGGCGAAGAGCGCTGGAAGTTGACCCTTGGCAGCCTCTGCAGAAGGCCAAATCCCAAGGAGAGCTCCTCATCTTCATCCTCAAGTGGGTCGTCATCTGGCGCTTCTGCAGCTGCTGATGCCGGTGGATTTGGTTGCGGGATGGGAGGCGGGTTGGGCGGTATGCCAAGCAGCTCGTCCGGCGACTGACCGCCGCAGACGTCCGGTGGCGATGTGGCCAGGGACGCTCCCCATTCGCTCAGACTGCCGGCCATATTCCGCGTCTGCTTGAACAAGCAGATCTAAAAACCTCGCCAACGGCGGGTTCGGGTTCGCATATTTACAGGTTGGCGAGAATTTTGAGACGGTAAGGCGAGCTTTCTCGCTCATCGACTTCGTCGCATCGCGTTATCATCATCTTCCTCCTCACCGTTTTCGTCACGTTCTACGAACTCAAGCTCTGCCGACTTCAGACGTTGAGATACTACCTCGGACTGAGAAGACGACGGAGCTCTCCGGTTCAGGCAGCTACTCTCCACGAAAAAGGCGGAGGCAAAGGGCGACACATCTTTGCGGTGGACAGCAACCAAAAGACCCGGACGCGCTGGCGAGAATTGCAGACACAAATTGCAGACACAAATTGAGAGGAAGAAAAAAGAACGCGAAACGGCGAGGCCCTCGGAGAGTTCTGCTGCTCCCCAAGCTCGGAAGGCCTTGCTCACGCCAAGTAATGAGGTAGAGTCTTGTCGCCACAAGTGGTCTATCAGTGGAGCCCTCGACATTCCCTGCACGTCAGCATCGGCGCGAGTTGACATCCCATACTTCTCGCCGCTCTCATCTGCCGCCAATGCAACGTACTTCCCGCCCCTCCATCGAGCGGATAGTGACCTGTCGGCCGCCAGTGCTACATCCAGCTGCAGCTGGACGTCGCGGTCGTTTCTTCGTGGGGGAGCATTCACCATGCCCCAGGACGAGAAGCGAACCAGCGACAAGGAGGCCGCCCATTTCGTCAACGCCGGAGGAGGAGCCATTGGGACAATGGATGGGGTGGGGGGCTTCATCAAGTACGGAATCTCGGCCCAGCGCATGGCGAATTGCATCGCAACCATCGGCGACATGATGACCTGCCAGCAGCCCCTTACTCCAGCCACCAACTATGGCGGTGCCCGCAACAGAGCCGAGGCCATCGCTCTGGATGCGTGGGAGTGGGCGGCAGACGATGGACCGCCTGGCTCCACTACACTGGCGATCGTGGCGCTGTCGCTCAATTGGGTCCCTCTCGTCAATAAGTGGGCTCCATACGCCGACACGGCCCTGTTTGGCGACTCGGGCGTCCTCATTCTGCGCCCGACTTACCACACACACCAGCAGCAGCAACAGCGGCCCAACATTCTGCGGCTTCCACCCCATCTACACGTCGACACCAATGCAGACGGGCCCCAACTGCCCGAATCAGCTGCAGAAATGGCCGCCCGACGAGTACGGCAACTTCCCCCTCCACCCCCACCCAGCCGAGCTAGAAAAGAGTCGGGGCCTGCAGGTGGCGAGTGTCCCAGTGCAGCCCAACGACCTCATCCTCACCTACTCAGACGGCCTTTCAGACAACCTCTTCGAGAAGGAGATCGTCAAACCCGTCAATATCAAGGTGTGGGCATCCGCCCCTTCCACGTTGGGCAACGCGTGCCTTTCAGACGAATGCATTATCGCTGCTTACATGTTATATTCGACGAGGCTGATTGAGCCAATGAGGTTGGTTAGGTGCTCGCTTCAGAGCTGCCGTTCCCCGCCCCTCCCCGCCTAGCAAACGGCATCGCACGCAGCATTGTGGACGCGGCCTTTCGAAGGAGCAAGACCGACGAGACGACGCCATTCGAGCTGCAGCATGCGGGGGCCTGGAAGGGGGGGAAGGAAGACGACATCACCTGTACGGCGGCCTTCGTGTGCATGATGTCGATGCAAGACACGCTGACCAAGGGAGAGCGACAGACACCCAGCACCCCCTCACACATCCCAACCAGGAGCGACAACAACGCGGCTGCCGCCCAGCAGCAGGACAAACAGCGCGGGGCTGGGTGGGCCAAGAAGAGCATGGGGCTGACGAGGGCGGTGAGGGACAGGATGACCTGATGGGCCGGCTGCAGCCCGACACGCCCACACACATGTCCACGAACGAAGGCCGCTACTCGATTACACACACCACTACCCCCTCCGCGCACCCTGATGACGACTGCCTCGAGGTCACAGACACCAGCCCTCCCCGCCCGAGGGATATATCGCTTCCTACATTCTATCTTCGGAGTCCGGGTGGACCCACCTCTGTTCGCCATGCTCTCGGTAAACCATAGACAGACATTTCGACATGGCCGCCGCCGTCCCTCTCTGTATGGCTGTGTCTGTGTCGGGTTATGCAGCGTCATCGACATTTCCACTACTTGGTGCGTGAGGTCATCCGCAGCCCACTGACCTCGCCCGCCATGATACGCAAGACCCTCCTCAGCCCGCGACTCACGTCAGGCATAGACAGCCAGGAGAGGATGAGACGCGCCGACTTCCAGCAGCAGGTGAGGTGGATGGGGTCAGACAGACAGACAGACGGACGGGAGAGCCAAAAGGAGCATATGTGTGGGTGTGCGCCTTGTCTTGTCAGCCGTTGGCGGAGATGATCGTCAGCATCTGCAGCGACGTGGCCGGCATCTACTGCATGCAAGACGCATTCGGTCAGCCCCCACATCACACCCAAATGAGTTTGCATCCACGTCCATGTTGCACCTTGTGTGTGCTGTGCTGTCCTGTGTGGTGCCATATATACAGAAAAGATGACGCCCGCCGACAGGTCCGACCTCATTGGCAGACTGCTCGCTCACGGAGAGGACACAATCGCACGCATCTGCGCCGTGAGAATGTCTCAGTCTTTGATGTTGGATGCTTCTTGTTCACGGGGGTGTGTGTGTGTGTATGTGTGTCTCGTGTATGCTGCAGTGCAAGGCAGGCTCGTATTGGATCGACACGGTGCTCTACTGCCACAGCAGAGACGATTTCCGTGCACCCCCGGATTTTTTCTGAAGCATCTTGCCACGTCTGCCGGTGAGCACACGCGCACGTCTTTGATGTCCGTGTCGCATTTGTCTGCATGTGAGGGGAGTGAAGAGGACGACCAGTTCCGGGAGGCAGAGCGCTCGATGCTGGAGGCTCTCAGCAGGGAGACAAACTACGCTGGACCACTTTGCAGAGGGGATGGGATACTGCAGTGCCAGGTGGACACGGATACGTGTGGAATGTGCTTCCGTCATGCAGTCTGTAGCGGTGCGTTACGGACAGGGGCGATGAGGCGCGTGACCTCACCCACCACTACGAGTCGAGCTACGACTGGGGCATCGCACGCAGTGGCCGCGGAGGAGAGCTGATCAGACTCGCACAACTGGTCAGTCAGTGGGCCAAATGGATGGGCAGACAGACGGTGCGAAATACTCTTTGTTTGTATGTCTCATCTTTTCTCTGGTCTCGATTCTTCCTGCAGGTGGTTGGCGAGATGGTCGCCGCCGATGAGCCTGTTCCGCCTCATCTGGCCGCCGACCTGCAGGCCGCAACGTATCGCTGCGCCTCACTGCCCAGCACACCCACCACACCACACACAGTGAGCACACAACCACACCCACACAGCCACACACAGACGCAGAGTGAATGCATTCTGATGCACGATGTATGCCACGCCTCTCGCCCGTCCGACACATCGCACGCACCATCCCGTGAGAGTGGGCATCGCGGCGTAACGTGTCGACACCGGGGCGTGTAGCGTGTGTCCTAGGATGCATTCATGGCTGGGTTTGGTTTTGTGTGCGTCCGGGGTGTATAGGCTGGCTTGAAGTTGGGTGTAGTGTACGGATTGGATTGGACGGTCAGCCCTTTCAATCGTTGGACTTTCTTTAGTTGACATGCGATGAGTGTGGAGCTGGTACCTTTCTTGTAATGGTGCATGCCTGTGAATGTATCGCTGCCCACATTTTATATTCGGACGACGTATGACTGAGTCGTTTGCAGCGCTGACACGCACGACTTACTTAAGCTTTGCAAACCTAATTGTCGACCATAGGATCTATAAGCAGAGGCAGTCAGGACACATGCCTCTTCTCGACTAAGGCCTAATTGGTCTGTCGGTCTGTCT